TGAGTCACCGACATGTGGAACGGTCTCCCTGATAACATCGTTAACGCTCCGAGTATGAACACCCTCAAGAACAGACTAGACGAAGCTATGCAAGAACATATGTTTAGTCTTTAAAAGTCAAGAGCCTTGCAATAAGTCAAGCAGCTATCTCAATCAATTCATCAATTATGGAAAGATCGGGCTCATAAGGCCTGATCCCTTGTGGAATTAGATCACGAAAAGTACAATAATCGGCAACAGACCATGGGGCTATTTCTTCAGTGCCAACAATTCTATTCTATACGATACGGGAATATACTCACAACAAAGCGGTTTTGTGCAATATGAGAATAGCACCAGTGACACTGTGCCGAGTAAAACCAGTTCATAGGACCAGCAAAGGGGTAGGTTCCAGCATCGGAATTGCGTTCTCATGACGCGAGTGACGAAGTAGCGCGGTGTCGTCCTGGGAGCCGTCACGAGTGAAATGACGAAGAAGCTCACCAAGCCAGGCTGGCAGTCACGTAGGGTACAAGAAAACAGCAGAACGTACATAAGAAGCAGTAACGAGTGAAGAGTCAAAACGGCTTGACGAGACATGACAGTAGCCACAAATAGTATGATGAAGCATCAACAAAATAGCTCATTGTGGCGAGACAGCCGACACCCGAAGCGTGATGATGTAGCTGCAGCAAAATCAAAGAGAATTGAAATTGGATCACCCGATTTGAATGCCGAAACAATAGGCATGCGCGTTAGCAAGAGAGCTCACAGCTTCGGAGCATGAAGTGATAACTTATAGAATAAAAACTTACATATTCTCTAGATTTCATTTGTTACAAAGAAAATAATCAAATAGGCAATATTGCAAGACTAGCTAGCTTCTAAAGTGTTATATTATAATAATAATATAGCGGTTTCAGCGTTTATTAGGCCGTAGGCCTGTCGCCGATTCTTAACATTGCAGAACATCCACAGCTTGTCGCGGGATAGAACTCGCAACTCACTGCTACAATTTTGCTTTGCTTAACCGCCAAGCCTCCTTGCCGATTCTGACCAGAAACTGGGGATCAAACCCGCATCTCCCTGCTCCAATCCTGGTACTCTGAACTGTAACCCCTGGGTCACCTTGCCCTATCCTGGCAAGAGGCAACGGTCACAAGTGGAGAGTCAGGCCGGACATGGTCTGTCATCAGGGGAGACTTCTGCCAAGACTGAGGGCTGGAAAGCTATATTTGGAGAGTGCGTGAAGAATGAGGGGGAGGAGGTTGGTGAGAATGGATGCCGGCATTGTTTAAAGAAATGAACAATTATGAAATAATAGTAACAATAATAATATAAAAATAAGCAAATAATAATTCATGACCTGTGAGTTCTCATTGCCTTATACAAATTTAAAACTACTGTGCAATAAATATGACACAGCAATAATAGACCGAATAATTTCCCTCTTGAACCTTATATTTACCTGCTTACATCTAACCCTTATCATAAACCTTTTTATCCCTCCAACCACTGCTCTAATGTGACCCCTAGCCGCTGAATATTACGGCGCCATATTTTTGGGTTGCTGAATATTATTCAGCGTCAAAGGGCGATGTTGACAGGTTACTCAATATATTGCACAATCACGCTTCCAGACATATAACTATATCATCGCAACCCATCACAAAACACTGCAAGTGCCTCCCTACACCCCGATCCCATCAACGCACCCCGGTAGGCACCTCCCTACACCCCATCCCCATCACCGCACCCTGCAGGCCCCTCCCTACACCTAATCCCCATCACCGCACCCTGCAGGCACCTCCCTACACCCCGACATCATCACCGCACCCTGAAGGCACCTCATCCCCATCACCGCACCCTGCAGGCACCTCATCCCCATCACCGCACCCTGCAGGCACCTCCCTACACCCCGACCCCATCACCGCACCCCTGCACGTGGGTGTCTCAGAATCCCAGACGCCGGCTGTAGGCAGCTACGTCGCGTGGGCCCCACGAGCTCGTAGCCTGCATCGCAGTAGTAGGTCGCGTGGCTGCCCACCGTGTGGTCGCCCTCCTCCACGCGCAGGCCTCTTAATCCCTGCTTCGCCATGCTGGTCAGCTCGGTGCACTGAATCTCTGCTCACAAAGGCCGAGTGGTTATGTATCTATATCACTATATGCAAGATTAATAGGCGAACAATTTTACCTTTTATGGAATAGAAAGAGTTGACTTACAGTTGTTTAGACGCTAAATTAGATTTGATTCTAATTTTGAGGAAAATTTTCAAATAACATGAATATATTTATGTTACAACCATACCAGAGAATCGTAAAGAGCGATAGGTCGGTGCTGCTAACAGCCAAACAACTGTGGTAACAAAAAAAAAAGTCATTTAGTCTATTTCCGAGACTTTACGTCAATAATTATCATTGCATTACTTTTATTTTCCACAGCTAGAATAGGTGAAAATCTATCTCGGAACGCACGGATGCACTTGGGAACCGGTCCCGACGTGCCGTTTTCCTGACAAAATCTACGGAACTTTTCCTCCACTTTCCAGTTGGGGTCGCACTCTTACGGTACGGACGGTACGGTGGCTCCGTAGCTCGTCTCGTTACTGGGCAGTCTGTACAAGCCGTGGCTGATGGACTTGGTGAGACCACAATCAACAACTGAAATAAAAACATTGCATGATAATCACGAATCATAACTACTTGCGCAAGTTTTCCTCGCCATGGACCAGGCAATAAGTCCAGCAGCTATCTCAATCAATCGTCAGTTATGGAAAGATCGGGTTCCAAAGGCCGGATCCCTTGTGAATCAAGTCATGAAAAATACAAGAATTGGCAACAGGCCAGTGGCCTATTTCTTCAGTGTCGACACTTCTATTCTATATTACGCAAACAGTCTCTGCAAAACTTTCATGAAATCAACATGTTGAACGAAATTTTGTGGCCGAAAGTTGTAGAATATAGAAGGGAAAACTCGCAGATAAAGAAGAAATAGTCCAAGTACTCGTTTATTGATGGAGAAGTTTATTATAAATAGTCATTAAATAGTTAATGAACTAAGAATGCTTACTAATAAGTAGTATCTCATGTTGCTCCCCATTTTCGAACAATTGTTATTATCTTTGAATATAGAATACCATAATGCATGAAGGTCATTTGAAAGCTCAATAAAGTCTCGAATAACTTTCTTTCGCCTGCCATGATAATAACACATGATTGACATAGACGAACTTCGAACGACTGCTTGGGACGCACCTAGCAAAAATATTGCGCAATACAGCCTACAGACGGCACAATATTTTCCAGTATTCGCTATATATTTTCGATGTCATGAAAATGGGGGAGCAGCCGTGTACCACCAATTTTGTGCACCAATAAGCCCTGAATCGAACGCCTTAGATCTCTTCGGACATCCACCAATCAGCCGTGAACCATTCGGCTTTGTCTTCCGCCGGCCTCGCATAGAACCTGCCGTGCACCACCAGGCCGCGGATCGAATCTGACTTCCGAGCATCGTTAAATTACGTAATTTTACGTTCACCGCATCTGAGGTTAGGTTTCAGATAGCATAGTTCTACTCCAAAATTTATCGTCCTTCGACAAGTGGACCTTCGACCGAGGGCTGGTTCGACCCACGGCCTAGATACGGACGGCTTGAAGTGTTGAAGGTTACGTTGCGGAAGGCAGGAATCATGATGGTCTATCACATCCAGGGCAGTGGTGGTCTTCCGCAGGCGACCCCTGAAAATTATGCAATATATTTCGCAACCCGTCAATGTCGCCCCTATCTTACCTTTGTCCCTCTCCTCCTACCAACATACGTGAAGCCGATATAAAGGCCTGGCAGGGTGGGCAGTGGTTACAGTTCAGAGTACAATGAGTGGAGCAGAGAGGCTTGGGTTCGATCCCAGCTCTGTGCGCCAGTTTCTGGTCAGAATCGGAAAAGGAGGCCGGGGTAAGGCTTGTAGTCAAAATGCAGCGAAGTCTGTGAGCGAGGTTTTCGCGACCATCGTGTAAAATCATTGATCTGCCCAAAGCTCGGCCAGTCGCTACCCTCGAGCTTGTACTCTTTGTAATATGATAGCCTAGCCAGACCCTTCTTCGCGGGAACTGGTCGCTTTCAGGTGGCTGAGGAATGGCCAACGGTCGGCTATAACTAATTGGATAGGCCGACCACTGGCCACGTATTATTCTTCGCCCCTCATTGACTTCGCCTTTACCATGCCACCCGTTGTGAACTGACAGTTGGAGTAATTTACGACGTCTCTTTCCCCTCAAACATTGCACAACGTCTTCATTTGCGCAGCTAGTATGCGGGATTTTCCCTCCGCGTATCAGCAGACTCGATCATAAATATTTTTTGGTGGAAAATATCTATAACAAGGAAGCTGATAAAGGAATACCGAATATACCATTCAATTGATAATAAAAATTACAACCCGTTTATATCTCGAAAAAAGTGTAAAATTCGCAGACTTGATGAACAATAATATTCAAAGTTTCTTGAAATTTCCTCTCATTAAAACTCTTTTAATACAAAGTTTACATATTTTTTGTTACTGGTCGACGCTTATAAATAAATAGCTGGGTAAGTATGGAAAAATCCATATCGCCATCTCATTTGCGAGTGGAGTAAAGTCTATCTTAATTAGTGAAGAAACGCTTAGGGAAGAGCCGAGCCTGTTCGAAGCCTCTCGGCTTTCAATCAGGGCCTTAAGCACAGCAGAATTGTAGCAGTGAGTTGCGAGTTCGAGACCACAAAATGCTGTGAATGTTCTGCGATGTTAAGAATCGGCGACAGATGTATCTTTCCTTAAAGCATAAAACAAGGTAATTCCGCATTGACGTGTCACAATATCTCGCTTGATAAAAATTTTGAATTGTTTTAATGAGAACCGCTACAATCATTAAATACCTGCTATATTTTAAATGCTTGAAGACGAATGCTTTCGTAATTCCTGAACATGACGTCGATCCTTTCCAATTTTGCGGAATTCGTCACACCGCGGTATTTTGTGGATCAGTCATTCGTCAAGAATTCACTATTTACATTTAAAACTTTAGGTACTGCAAGAGTGCAAGTTTTAAACCAAAGTATCATTTGATTTTGCTATCGGCAGTTTCGATGGTAAGAAAACTTGTTGATCTAAATTCATTGTAAAATATTTACTCAAAACTGCAAAGTTGAGCAAGAGTAAGCATCATCCATTAGGCTAGGCCGCTAGTTCACTAACTTCACTTGTAGTTGTCTGGCAGCGCTACTTTGAAATGCAGCGGCCACTACCGCTTCATGCTCTAAATGTAGCGGGCGCTACCGCTGCCGCTACAATTGCTTTAATGTAGCGCCGCTACCACTACTGAAAATGTAGCGGCCGTTACATCAACATGTAGGATGTAGCGCGTCGCGCACTACTGGTCTACTGCTCACCTCTGGTAACAACTAACATGTTGAGGCAGGAGGCTTGTTGACACTAGTAACAGGCTAAGGTTGACAAGTGACAACGTTACACCAAAATCTTTTGTACAGTTTTATTCTGTAATTTATATTATGTATGTAATTCATGCTGGTTTTTAAGTAATACTTAATGCTATTAAGTAAAATCTGAAGGCTTTATAGATAAATGTAGTGGTAGCGCTGTAGCATAAAATCTCATATCGCTACTTAAATCTGTAGCAGGTGCTACCGGCCTACCGCTACCGCTACTGAAAATGTAGCGCGCTGCTGCCCACCTCTGCTTGTATCATGTATGCTTGAATTCCTCGTTTCAAATGTTAATGCTTCCACTTTTACAGTACAGTAGTAAATGAGATTATTTTTGCCCTTCCTCAAGTTCATTTATGATTTATGAGTCCTATAAGTACATTAGTAGGTATCTTGGATATAATGTTCAGGATACAAACATTATAATACATGAGAAATTGATAAATATATTGAGAAAAAAAAAATAAATTAAAAATGAACTGATACTAAAAAATCTCAGGTTTGCACTTTGTCACGCTTTGTCTCTATGCCAGAAATGCTTGCAGAGTTGCAGATTATATTTATTATATTATTTATGGCTTGAATGAGCAATATTTTATGTTTTTTTCCTGCCTTATTCAAATGAAATGTTAATTTAAATAGCAGGTTTGTTACTATTATAATTGTGCCCAGTTTAAATATATCTTTCCTTCTACAGAGCCCAGTTGGGATGCTACATGGACATGTCCTAAAGGCTCTAATAGTCACAAAACAAGAATGAGTCTTTCACTGATTCAACAGCATCATTATTCAATTTTTATTCAGTTCTAAAGGTGTCTTCAAGCAAGTTCAACATGACTGTGCCCACAGAACATTTGTATGGAAATGTTATACGGCAAGATATTGTTAAATGTAATTCTGCTCTGAAAATATACTTACAGGTTTGTTCTTAGTACCTATTGAGGCTATTGATATTTTGTATCACTGAAATAGAATGTTGTCTAACTTAGTAGGCATTCAATTATTTGTATATACAAGTTCTGTTTTACCATGAGAATTCCCCTTTAACTCAAGAGGGAAATTTCTCCTCCAACTCGTCCTAAAATTTGAATTTTTTTTCATATCAAAGCATTAACTTGAACTTTTGAATGGCTGACAACTCACAACAGGCTGCAATTTTCCAAGTCATGTTTGCAAGCAATCACCAATTTGATGACAATTTTTTTATTGAAATGTGTATCAAACAGAAAAATTGTTTCAAGTTGAACATCTCAGGATTATATTGTTTATATAGATAATGTTGTTAAGATTTACATTGTGATTTACTAGGAAGGGTTGATTTGATTCTGTCATTGGGATTCATTTTACCTATTGCAGGATGACAACTCAAGTGCCAGCTTATGTATTACTGAATTAATTTTTTTTAGAGAAAGTAAATGATTGGTTTCATTGAAATTTCTACTGCAGTAGTGTTCAGTATCATCATTTATTTAAAGGCTGGAAAGGAAATTTTAAGGTAGAAACAGAGGATTATTGCCAAGATTTCCTCAAAGTCAAAGTATAGTTATTCTGTGAATCATTTTATCATAATGTACCTATCATTAAAGTTCCAACTTGTTGCAACTAGGCTCAAGTGGAGAACATTTCTCAGATCAGTTTGTAAAATTTCCTAGTTTTTTTTTATATTTTATACATTTCTTTTAGACTATTCAAGAGCACAAGGGTGATGAAGCAGAGCTGAATGAAATCTCTGCTTCTGTGAGAACAAAGCTGAGTCAACTTAGAGGTCTCATAGCTAATCTCAAGACTTTAGCTAAGGTTGGTAACTGTTTATAGTTGCATTTTTCAACAATGAGATACCATCAATTTTGGAATGAGATATCAATCAACAATGAGATACATCCTGTTGGAATGCACACAATATTCTATCTTCAATAGGTTATCTTTTCTATGAATCTATTGGCTACTGAATTTCTTTCAATTAAATTTGTCTGATGATCCTGCCTATTCTTACAGGAAGAAGACAATTTAGAATCAAGAAAATTTCTTTTAGAAGACATTGTGGAGCAGGAGTCTGCTCTTCAACAAACTCATTCATTACTTAGAAATGCTTTGTTTCGAGCTCAACTTGCCATAACTGAAGTAAGTGAACAATAGGTATTTCCCAACTTAAGTACCTACTTAAGTTTCTCCTCAACTCAGATATTTTTATTCCGTTGTGACTTTTTCATTTTTCCAATCACATAACCAGACTCTACAGTACAACAGCCCTTGAGGAATGTTGTTGTATGCAAAGCTAATCTTAGTGATTATTTTATGGTTTCCTCTCATGTCCTTTTTCAGGCTAAATTAAAAAATAGCTTCAATTGTGTATTGTTCCATACATAAGAATATAAAAACTTAAGGCATCAATGTTTGAAGTTTTATAAGTACTTATATCATTAGTCTGCTTATATCGCAAGTTCACAAGGAATTTAAAAGCAAAGAAAACGCCAAGAAAATTCACCATATCGATATTGAAAACGTTTTGGAGTCTAGCTCCATCATCAGTTCGACTAAACTAAAAATTAATAAAATCACTTTAAAAGTCAAAATTCAAAGACAGACATAAAACCTAAACAGGACCTAACATTATATCGAAATAAACAGGACTAGTTATGAACAACTTAGTCCTAGGGGTACGACAAGAATATAAAATCCTAGCGATTTACTATTTCCAGATTATATGAGCTATCTGGAAATAGTAAATCGCTAGGATTTTATATTCTTGTCGTACCCCTAGGACTAAGTTGTTCATAACTAGTCCTGTTTATTTCAATATAATGTTAGGTCCTGTTTAGGTTTTATGTCTGTCTTTGAATTTTGACTTTTAAAGTGATTTTATTCATTTTTAGTTTAGTCGAACTGATGATGGAGCTGGACTCCGAAACGTTTTCAATATCGATATGGTGAATTTTCTTGGCGTTTTCAATATCGATATGGTGAATTTTCTTGGCGTTTTCTTTGCTTTTAAATTCCTTGAAGTTTTATAATATATAGAATAAAAACATTTCATTTTCTTCACATTTTTCTTCCAACAAATTCAGAGGCAGAAAAATGAACTCTTCAGCTATCAATCAGTCCAGAGCGATAAGGAAGGTCACCAATTAAGACACCGCATGAGCACTGAACTCGCCCTCAAGCAGTCGTCTCAGCTCACCAATGACCTCCTCAATGCCACCAGAATGATCCAAGACAACACCGAAAAGAGCACTAAAACGCTCGATAAGTTAGGTGCGTTGGGGATATTTTTTCTAGACATTAATCTAGATCAGTGGTTCCCAAAGTGGGCGATATCGCCCCCCTAGGGGCGATGGAAAGATTTTGGGGGGCGGTAAGGAAGAAAAAGGCGATAGGGGGGGGCGGCAGTCTGAAGTCGAAGTCAGAAGTTCCAACGTTTGTTAGACGATTTGTACACAACACGTGCAGCTCATAACTCCGAGGGATGGTTTTTTCACCCAGATCTGTTTTTTTTAACTTCGCCTGGTTTTACGTCTCGGACAAATTTACGGTCGGACTCGCGGCCGGTCTCACGTCCAATTACTAAATTCAACGATCATGGAATATCTCTGAAACTAATGAACTTAACTCGATGAAACTTGGTACACGTATTCATTAAGACCTAACGGCAATGTTTAGATCGTGAATTTTTTTTTTAATTTTGCCTTCATTTGTTTTTGCCATTGTTAAATGGCAATACGGGCCGAAATTCAAAGTGATGAAGGAATTTCTTCCAAACTACCGAACATATTCGAACGAAATTTTGAATTTACAATCCTAACTACTCAACACTCAACAGTAATGTTTAGCTGGTGAAAATTTTTCGATTGTGCCTTCGTTCGCGAGTTTTTTATTCATTTCACCTTCATTCGTGATTTAAACAGCAATACGTGCTTAAATTCGCAGTAAGCAAGAAATTTCTTCCAAACTACTGAACAGATTTGAGCGAAACTTAGTATTTAAATACATACCCTCAGCAACGGCGATGTTTAGCTCGTTACAATTTTTTTCAATTTTGCCTTCGTTTGCGAGTTATACGGCTATACGTAAACGGCTCTTGGTTAAAACGGCCGGTAGAAAAGCTGGTCGTTTCTCTTATATCTATATAAATCGCGAACGAAAGCAAAATAGAAAAATTGTGACGAGCTAAACATCACCGTTGGGAGGTTAGGTTTCGTTAGAAGAAATTTTTTTTCGGTTAGAAGAAATTTTTGATCACCACGAATTTAAACGACAAATTACCCGGCGATACGGGCCGAATATAAGGAAGTGTGAAATCAAGAATGACAGTTAAATGAAAAAAAATCTCTAACGAAAGTAAATGAAAAAATGTTTTAAATCTAAAAAAATCGCCATTTGGTAGTTAGGAATGTATATTCAAAATTTCGTTCAAATCTGTTCAGTAGTTCGGAAGAAATTCTTTGATCACTAGCTGCGAATTTCAGCCTGTATCGCAATATAACTCATGAATGAAGGTGAAATTAAAAAAATTTTCACGTGCTACACATCACCGTTAGGTTCTGATGAGTACATGTTCCAAGTTTCATTGAGCTGCGTTCATTAGTTTGAGAGATATTACTTGATAATTGAATTTGGAGATTGGTCCTGAGACCGGCCACGAGTCCGGCCATAAATTCCCCCAAGACGTCCTAGGTTTCAAGTGCTGAAACAGTTAAAACAGCTGGAAAACATATTGGTTCACTAAATGGGGTTCTATTTGTGAAATACACAATTGTGTTTAACCTTTATTTTGTAAAATTTCAGCATACTAAATTTCAAGAGAGAGGCGTATGTTTTTTTTATGTGTCTGTGGGGGGGCGCTAGAAATTCACTAGGGAGGCCAAGGGGGCGACAGCCTGAAAAAGTTTGGGAATCACTGATCTAGAAGTACCATTACACCAATTTGTACTTGAGGGGGGGGAGGTAATCTGGACTACAAACCTACATCAGCTTCTTCTTATCTTCCCTATTTACATAATCCTAGCTGTCTGGAGCTGATGATCCATCTTTCTAATTAATCTATGAACTATAGTATTCGTTATTAAAATGCAATACCTGAAGATAACTTGGTTCTGCAAAGTTTATAAAAATATTACTGATTTTTCCTCATGAACCCCATTTTTTGTCAGTACCCAATACTGTACTCTTTATGTTTTAGCGTTATGTATTCTGGCATTGTAATGACAATGTATGCTTACAAACAGTGGAGAGCTCGGAGACATTGACAGCAACACGTGAGGAGTTGAAAGGACTGGGCTCCGTCATTAGCCAAGCACGAAAGCTGCTCAGCAAATATGGTCGCAGGGAAAACACTGACAAGCTCCTCATCTTTCTAGGCTTTGTTTTCTTTGCTGCATGTTGCCTCGTTGTCATTAGAAATAGATTAAACATATTCTAGTTGCAATCTGTTGTCCAATTCTCCCAATCTTTCATTATCGAAAGTGGAACAAGTTTTTTATTTGAGATATATCGTGTATGTACACATATATATTGTACTGTATCATTTTTCCACAAGTCACTCAGTGAATTGAGCAATTTCATATGGATTACAAAATAAGTTTCATTTTATATGTTGCCCTTAGCTATCTGATGATGCGTTAGTGCGATTACAGTTGTAGCAAAGAAGTCTGCCTCACTCATAACTTGGACTGACCAGACCTGCAGATGCAAAATCTCATCCCTGTGATACAACTCCAACTGTCGATTTCCTGTTCGATGCTACGTAGATTTTCTCGTATTCCTTTTGCTTTAATTGACCCCCACGTTGTCCGGTTCTGGCATGCATTTCATTCGGAAGAGCAAAATAACTTCCTTTAGTATTTAATAATCATTTATACCCTACCTTTTATTCCCACTCATAGAATAGCGTTCCCATTTTCTTAAAGTATGCAGGTGCATTTTGACATCGAAAAGATTTACAATCGAGCAAAATTCATTTATTAGTCTAAATTTTACACTTGAAGTAGAATTGCTGAAGATGTTCAAAGTAAAACTTATCTAAATTCCTTTACAGTCGTAAGTGCCGGTAAAATTTCGTAAAATGAACTAACATTTCGGTGTCGGCAAAACAGCGACAATCTACTACCCGCTTAGTTCCTTTTGACAAGAACGTGTGCAGCATTCATTGATGCTCGAAACGTCACCTTTTCGACAATATTACAATTACCATACAGGCAATACGGTTTCAAAGAGGAAAAGCTTAGCACTAGCAAATCATTACAATTAAATTCAATTAAGAAAAATTAAAGACAATTGCGGAGTAATCATCCTTACATTTCCGTAAAATTATATTCTAATTGATGTTTCTGCGGGATTTTGTCCTTGATTTAAATCAAGACAATTTTCTAACAAGCCTAAAAAATAACTTAAAATTCCACACAGAATTTTGCACAGCTTTACGATACAATCAAGCGGGAAGCAACGGTTTTTTTACTCTTACGTTACTTCTTAACTAAGCTATATTAAACCAGGTACTAATGTAGTCGTGAAAAGCATTCCCTTGTACCGAGTCTTTTATTATATCAATTTTCATACTCAAGAGATTGTCTCTCAAACGAACGATGAACGCTCACAAAGAATTTAAGTTCTGAAACTTTTAGCTTTCTTAACACGTAAGAACTATTAAGCAAAAATGTTTCTACACCTAATATGATCATAATAAGTGGTTCTAAGAGGCATTTCAGAAGCACTTGAAGCCGGTTTCAATTGAAATTTATTTTTAGTCATGGTAGTTGAGAGGGAACTGATTGCAAGTGGTCTCAGGAGACCTCCACTTACATGCAATAGCTTACAATATTTTCTAGCTAAGTACCTTAATAAGAAAGCTTTTCATGTCTATACGAGAGGAAAATCATTTACCCTTATAACTTTAGTGCAATCGCTGTTGAGCCGAACTTTACTTCTTGGCTGCTCTGCTCCTTGTTTGGCGAATTGGTCTGGAAAATTGCAGAAAAATGTCAACAGAAATAAATGAAGCCGACCATTTCGTAAAATACTGATAACAGATAATTTATGTATCAAATTTCAGTTAAACACTGGTTTAAAAGCCTGATACGTTTTGGAGGGCAATTACAACATTTGGCCTAGCTAATTAATACCTTCGTGTAAATATTAGTCTGAAGATCTCACCTTGCAGGAGAAGGAGTCTTTGATGATTTAGGAGAAGCTTTCTTCTTGCTAGCTTTGGCTCCTCTACTGCTCTTGACAGCAACGGCTTCTGCTAAAGATGTTGAAACTTCTTCAGTCTCCAATTGATCAGATTTTTTCGATTTTCGAGCAGGCTTCTTGATTATTTCAGGAGTTGCTTTCAAGGTCATTTCCGATGCTGTCACTTTCGCCTGTTGACGTCCACGAGTAGCGCGTTTTGGCTTATTTTCGTCAACTGTGGCAGCTGTAACGATTGCTACCTCTGCCTTGTTTGTGGACAGACTTATTTCAGACGTTAGCGCCTTCTTAATACCTCGTCTGGTTCTCTTAACAGCAGTTTCTGGCGATTTATTTCCTTCTTCCTCGCATGTCTCCTTGGCAGATAATTTTTTATTACCTATTTTTGCCGGCGAATCTTTTGCGGGAGACGTTTTCTTTACAGGAGACGTTTTCTTTACAGGAGACGTTTTCTTTACAGGAGACGTTTTCTTTACAGGAGACGTTTTCTTTACAGGAGATGTCAAAACAGCTTTACGGCTTCTAGTGCTACGTTTAACAGGTGCTGGTGATTTCTGGACTTGGGGAGAATCAGCAACAGGTGATGCCAATTTAGATGCTACACCTCTACCACGGCGAGTAACTCGAGATGCGACAGGTATATTCTTCTCAACTGAAGTAGAAGTATCTTTTCCAGGTGACGCAGCTTTCCTGCCCAACCTTCTTCGCCGAGTTTCCTTAGAAGAGTTTTCTTTTATTGTTGTCAATGGGCTAGTATCATTCACTGTAGGCGTCGCTAATGCGGCATTGGCTCTTGGGCGTCCACGACGACGTGGCAAAGAAGCAACAGGCGATGTGACATTTAAAACTTCACTCGGAGTTACAGACGATGACTTTGCAGGTGTAGTAACCAACGACGACTTTGCCGGGGTTTTACAAAACTCCAACGTAGGGGATTTGGCCAATGGCGATTTTGCAGGATTCTCGGGAGTTGTGATCAAAGGTGACGTTGAATGAGTTTTAGCCAATGGCGAAATGGCTGGAGTCTTGCTCAACCGCAATGGCTTTGCAGGAGTTTTAGCCAATGGCGACTTTTCAGGGTTTTTACCCAAAGACATACTTGCAGTTTTAACAAGTGGCGAACTTGTAGAAGTTCTGGTATGTTTGTTGGAGATCAATGGAGACAAGTTGGAATCTTGACTTATAGACTGAGAAGACATTTTTGCTTTTTTAGCAGCAACAGCAGCTCGTGTTCCTCTTGTGTTTCTTGTCACAGGAGACTCGTCAGGAGCAGAACGTTTAGTTCCGTGAGCTGAATTTGAAGGGATCAAATTTTTGCTACGTGAGCTACCGCTAGTATCAATACGAGAATCGTCATCTTCACCAGAAATATCAATAACATCTGGAACATTATGGGGCGATGCCTCGTGCGGCTTATTTGTCGTAACTGACATTCTTGTAATAGCATTTGATTTTGGAGGCGATGTGACGACATTTAAAACTTCATGAATCTCAAGAGTCGTATCTGACGAAATAGGGGATTTCATTAGAGCACCAAGACTTTCAAGAGTAGAGTCACTGAGAGATACGTATGGATTTTTGGAGAAAAGGCTCTTGATGTTTTGCACATTCGTGTAATCTGCTTGAGGTGATCTCTTCTTCATCAAAGATCTGACACCAGATACGTTCCTCAAATCGTCTTTAGGTGTATTTGACGACCTCAGTAGCTGTTTTACTCCACGCACGTTGCGATAGTCCACACCAGGAGTTTTGGATCCATCGAAGAGTTGTTTTATTCCACTGACATTATTTGATGATTGGCTCTCACAGGCGTCTGTCATTCGTTGCATGGGGCTGACAATTGCTACATTTGACCCCGGAGTCGTGATTGAAGGGGATGCTGCAGCTGGCGAAGAAGGAGTGCGCTTGGCAGCCAACGAGCTCATGAGCATGGCATCAGGCTGTGTGTAATGTGGAGTGCCGAGCGGCGAAATAAAACGGTCTTGTGTGATGTTAGGAGTTCCTCTACATGTCATGTCAAGTCGAGATGAGCACCTTGATGATGGTGATGATGTGTTGCTCAGAGAGGTATTTGCCAAAGGTCTCTTCATCAAACTATTGCTCGAAGAATTGGCTTCAAAAAGCTTTCTAAGCTGCGAAGGTGTCAGTTCAGTTGAACTACCGTCCATTGAACGTGTTCGCCTAGCAGATTTCATCAAAGGCTCTGACTGCTGGATACCAAGCGATTTGCGACTTGTAAAATCACCAAGTCTGGAACCATTTCCTGCAAGAGATGGCATGAAAAGTGGTGAATTGATATGCTTTGCAGAGTTGTACGACGTCCGAGAAATAGAAGAGACAGGAGATACTGAGCCACTTTGATTAGAAATGCTGGACAAGGATGAAGCAGACATCACTGCAGTTTCCATTGACTGTAAAGTTTGCTGCAACGACGACGAGGTTGTCACCTTGGAAGCAGATTGAACAAGTCGAGGTGCTACGAAAATTGACTTCATCATCCTGAGATTAGAATTGGCAGATTTTGGAGTTTTCATGATTTTTTGGGTGATAATGGCAGTTTTAGGAGTGGCATTGGGGGACCCCTCATTTGTGGTAGATTCTCGAGCGTTTGTCGCACGAGTTGATCTGGTGGCTGAGGATGTGACATTAGCATCAGCAATTGTTGGGAGTTCAGTAGCAACTTGGTCCGTCGAATCTGCCGGTTGAAATCCTGTTGAGTTAGCTACAGATATTGATACAGATTGTGATGTAGAAGACATAGCAGCAATTTTTGGACTGCAAGTCATTTTTTCTGAAGGTGTTTGAATGAGGCTTGGGGACTTCGTAGCAGCTGTTGGAGTTTGACCTGTAGGCTTAGCAGGGGATGCCATAAGGACCTCAATGCCAGTTAGATCAAGGCTTTCTGCAGTATCAAAATTGCGACCGAGGGATTTGCGGCCCTTGCGGAAAACCAGCGGAGTTTTGGACACTTTCCCGTAGATGATGATGGGCGCCGGCGAGTTGGCATGACCAGTGGAACTGCTGCCAAAGTTGAAGTTCTTCGGGATTTCCTGTAGAATTTTGAATTATCAACAAATGTTTTGAATTTGAACTATTTGCAGTAATTTTTCATTTACAGTACTTTTTAACTATACACTATTTCATGAAATGGCGGCCAACTAAAAGTCAATCTGATAGCACTAATTGCCATCACCAATACTTTGCTCAAATTTATGAGTTTCATAGAATCTAATTTTTCATGCAACGGCTTCGTAGATTTTCTAATTAGCAATAAATATATAGGTCATTAAACAATAAATATTGGAAATATATCAAAATATAAATAGGTTATATCTCTATTTAACGGAAAAATTGCTAATATTTGACAATATCTGAACCAACAAGCAATTATTTACGCTACATTGCGTTTCAGAACGGTTACAAGTCTGAAAAATCAGTAAACATCGACGGTACAAGTAAACAATAACTCACCTTATCAAGACCTGTTGCTCCTGAATGGCCAGCGCGTGTATTTAAGGCCTTATTTTTCCTGGATTTGAATTTACGAGCCTTTTCAACAGCTTGAAGAGCCCGCCTGGCAGTGACCGTCTGGTTGGAAGATGACCGAGTAGTTGTGGATGAGCCACGCTTCAAGACACTTGCAAAACTGCCACGAGCCCAAGCCACGCGCGGCGTCTTGCGAGCCAGCACTGCAGCTTTAGATGCGGATTTTTGCTTAGCATCTGGAACTTTAGGTGACGTTTTAGACAGTAAACGAATCTTTTTAGATGAAGTACCTCTCGCCACTGATATGGATAACTGAAGTGTCTTCTTTACAGATGATTTTGGAGTTTTTGTAGCAGGTGATGTTGAATTCCTCTTTGCTGGTAACGTTTGATTCGTATTGTTGGGAGACTTGGGAGACTTCTTCATGGACGAAGGCGATGACTTCTTCACAGGTGACTTGGGCGATTTCTTCACTGGCGAAGGCAGAGACTTTTTTACAGACGATATGGGAGACTTTTTCACAGATGACTTGGGAGATTTTTCCACTAGCGACAGTCGGGACTTCTTCACAGATGATTTGGGAGACTTCTTTCCTGATGACGCTGGACTCTTTTTGGCAACAGGAGACTTACTCAGGGGACTTGACATTGATTTTTCTTTAGGAGAACCTGGAGATTTCGTCAATGATCTTGGAGAAAAGGCTCTAGAATCCCTCTTAGGCGTGACAACAAATGAAGCACTCTTAGTTTTAGAAGCTGAAGTAGATCGCACTGGAGATTTGGATGGAGAAATTTTAGGGGTAACAGTGAATGAAGATTCGCGCCTCTTCTTTGGAGTTGCTACTGTGCTGGGAGACTTAGTCTTTATTGCTTCACTACTTGGCAACCTGGAGCCAGGGAAAGATTTTCGGCCAGATTTCGTTTGCGATGCGGTAAAGCCTGTTGAACGAACTAAACTTTTGCTCCGAACAGTTGAAATTGACTTCTTTTGCGATGACCTTGACGTTTTGTAGCCTTGTGGTGACTCCGAACGAGAACGTTTTGAAGTAGCAGACTTAGAAGATGGCAGGATTTCAACTAGCTTCTTTTGCTTTAGGATGAGTGAAGGAGTTGAACCCTTGGAAGAAGTTGCTTTTACCGACCTTGATGGCGAATTCTTTGACAATTTAGATGGCGTTTTCGAACTGCGGCTGGCAGCAGGGGAGGCCTTTGGCGATTTAATGACAGCTTTTTTTGGAGTACCTGAAGGCACAGAAAATCCCAGAGAACGGGCCAAGTAAGGCTTAATGGGAGTTGGTGAACGTCGGCGCAATAGGGACTTGGAAGGAGTTTCTTCCAGGACTTTGTTAGTAGCCACATAGGGTGATGCTTTGACTCGCGTTGCCTGAACACGTTGATGTACAGCAAACACACTAGGGCTGGCTAGTTTAATTGGCGAGGCAAAATTTGGTTTTTCTCCTTTGCGAACAGGTGTCGATGAGGGTAGTTGTTTATCAAATTGTTCAGGACTAAGATATGGTCCAAAGGAAACACGTTTGTTTCTACCAGCAGGCGAGTCCAGTTCTCCACAAGGAGCCGCTTTTCGCTTCTTGGCACTTGCAGAACTTGCTGTCTTCCTGGAAGTGTTTAAGCCTGCAAATAAAAGCCAGAAGTCTAGTAAATTGTGTGATAAATTTTAAAAACTTGACTCATCAGCATATTATAAATAACATAAAGAATAAGTAATTTACTAAAGAATATCCAATGAAATTACCATATTTGAAAGTTAAAATTTTGCTACTCAATAAGTTTACTCTTAATTCCAAGAAAAATTACCAGCAAGCCTAGTAGGAGTAGAGAAAACGAAGGTAGTTGCTGAATCAGGATGATGAGGTGATGACTTGGCATATTCCCAACGCAGCAGGCGATCTCCCACAGTGATGACATCTTTGTGTACCAACACATGCTTACAATTCTTCTTCAGAGGTGAATTATTGACTTTCACTGGATTGGCGGCACTCAGGCTCTGAAGTACACACTGTAGAGAAAGCAATGCATTACCTACAACTCTATGAAATTAAATTCAAGCATAAAAATATGTTTGCTGTCAAATGGAAGTAGAATGAAAGGAAATTTTAAATGCATTCAACAACAATACATCATAGCAGGGTTGCAAATATGGTCTTCTGCAAATTTCTTGTAACAAAAAAAAAAAAAAAAAAACCAAGCATTCGATTTTAATTTATGTTCCTAATGCTCAGTTAGGCTGAAACTTCCCATCAATGCTATGCATACTCAAACACAAGATTGTAAGAAAATTATTTCAATTGATAAATCACATTTCATCATTTTAATACAACTATTTTGAGCACTATAAAATGGGATTACTTTGGCAGCTGAGTTTGGCCTGCATTGAAATAACTTTTGTTACATATACTTATATATATATAGGCTAAGGCTACGGCCAGCCTAAAAGCGTTCACGCGTACGCTGGCTGACGCTTCAAGCAGAGCGGCGCCGCGCCGCGCGTATGGCGTCCAAACCAGACGCTGGATCGCACAGCTTAGTGCTAGTCGATGTGTATAAATGAGTGACAGCAAGAGACTAATAGCCGTTGTATTTGATGAAAGTTTTATAATGAAATAAAAGATGAATAAAAAAATCCCATATACACCTTGTTTTGTCTTTTTTGGAATCCATTCAGATGAGATTAGATAGATATTAAATAGGTTATATATGATCATGATGCATGCCTCGCGAGTCGTGATGAAACGCCACTTGTGTTGGTAGGTGATGAAGCTTACACATTGCTTCCTAACTTGATGAGACTATACCCCTCCCCCCCCCAAAAAAATAATAACTTAGATGAAAGCAAGAAAATATTCAACTACAGACTATCAAGAGCTCGGCGTTGTGTAGAATGCGCCTTTGGAATTATGACTTCAATATTCAGAATTTTAACGAAATCCATCGAGACCAGCGTGGATAATACTGTAGAAATAATTAAAGCAATTACAGTTTTGCGCAACATGATTCTTGTTAGAGAGATATTTGATAAAGACACGGCATTTACATCAATGGAATTAAATTCATCGAATGAACAACATGAAACTATAATTGCTCCTGTTCATAGATACAGCTCTAGAATTGCAACAGATGTTCGAAAAAAATTACAAATTATTTCCTATCAGATGCAGGAAAAGTTGCTTGACAGTATCATATGCTCTAAATAAACAATAAGAATATCCGAGTACTTCGAGTGCTACTAAGTTCGTTCACTTCTATTTTCTTTGTTTAATAAAAGAATTCAAAAAGAATGTATTATTACTGTTCTTAGCTGAAATATTGAGTGCATCAGCTATCATAGATCACTGGTTGCTAATGTATGTCCTATCACTGTGCTGTGGGTGAGAGGCATTCCAGATTGCAGGTACCGCCTCAACTGACGAGAGCAATGCGTCGACATCCTTCTCTCATGGCTGCTTCAAGGGCACTGCACGCGCGTGTCCGCGTCGAAATATTTGTCTAAAGTAATGTCGATTTTCCACCGCGCGGCAACGCGTGTGTACGCTTGAGGCAGCTTCTGCCTGTAAGCGTTTAGTGTGGCCACTCTGGTAGAAATACATACATAATATCGCAGCGTGAGCGCGCGTACGCCTGCGTACGCGCCAACGCTTTTAGTCTGGCCGTACCCTTATAGAAAGACAAACAGCAAGAGAGGACAAATTGCATAATAATAAATAGTATGAAATTTAATCAAGAGTATTAGTAGAAAAATCAATCCAGTTAGTGATACTCATTTCATGTGGCCTACAACAAATATTCAATGTTGAATAAATCAACTAGCTGCAGATTGACATAATCACAAAATACTTGATCTTGATATCAACATCTAATTAATATTTGAATACAATTAAATTTAACCTACAGGCTTCTTCCCAGGGTTGGCGATTTTTTTTTTATTTAAAAAAAAAATAAAAAAAAATCAATGATTTCTTTTTTAATTTTTTCAACTTTTTTGTCTTTTTGAAGTGTTATTTTTTATGTTGCAATTAGCCTACTAACAATAGCACTATATGGATCATAATGGATGGCTAAAAAGGGCACTTATTGCCTTCAATAATGGCCAACAGGCCAATGGCAAGGTGGTGTTTACCACTTAGGGATTTTTGGGTAACCAATTATTGGTACTATGTCTATTCATTAGCTCTGTAAAGTTTGTACGGAGCAAGGTAATAAGCTAAATATTGACCATTTAACTGGCTTCAATATACAAAAACACTTCAGGAATGCAGATCTCCTAAACATTGAATATTTAAATTGTATATTGTAATCAATATATAACAAATAGTCAAATAGTTAAAGACTACTTATAGCCTTATAAGAATTAGCTAAGCTGCTAGCTACGTACAATGTATTGCACACTTGATGCCTCCAAAAACATTCAATTTATTGGAACCTAATACACACTAAAGGCAACAAGTTTATATACCAATTTGTCATTTATAGTACATTTTTACTAAACCATGAATAACAATACCTCAATATAAATTAAAGACTGCCACTCAATATATTTAATTATATGAAAAAATAAAAAAATAAAAAAATAATAAAAAAAATCATGATTTTTTTCAAAAAATTATGATTTTTTATAAAAAAATCAAGTGATTTAATCATTTTGATTTAATCATCGCCAACCCTGTTTCTTCCTTCTCCTCATAGTGTCAACATTCAATTTCATAACAAAAGACAATATTAAATTGATGAATGTTTTTAACTGACCAATATTCAGTATAAAATATATTTAGCCTCTCTCAAGATTTAAATACAACTTACTTGGTAATCAGCTCTGCATTCCAGCTTCTGGTGCCTGGTAAAGATTTTTATAACCAACATTACTCAAGGGATCAACATACCTGGCTATCAGAAAGCACATCAATACTGGCATGTCTCACAGAGACAGTATCCAGCTGCACTCTGATGTCACTCTGAATGTGATTGCCAATAATGCAAGTCTCTTGGCACATGGGAAATGCATCTCCATCCTTGCCACTCCTCTTGATGATAACAATGTAGCCCACTTTTGACATGCCGGCTGGTTACAACCAATCTTGCCCTTCAGGTAGAAGATTATCTGAAGGTAGAAGTAAATTGATTAAGAAAATTTGAGATGAAGCCAATGAGCCATAAACATATAAGTAACAGGAATTATCTGGGATTAGTGAGTCAATCTGTCAATGATAGAGAAATTACATAGATTTGAATGTATTTAAGAACAAAAATGGAAAGTTCATTTAGAAAGTTTTGCAAATTTGTCTAAACTCTTGGGCATTGTTTTAGTAATTTTTATCATCATTGCTGGAGGAATAAACTTTACTTATTATTTTCATAATCATTTATGAAACATTAGCCTTTATGTTTAACATTAATTTCATCTTTGGTATTAATTCAACATGTGTGTTTTTATTCTGATTTTGCACCTTTTTGCTTCCTAATTAAAAACTACTAGAATTACAAGCCTAGCAGTTTTTGAGCATATACTCGTAGTATACTCATATATACTCATAGTAGTACTTGTGAGGTTTGGTACAAATTTCAGTGCTAAATGCAATTTTTCAAAAAATTTGGGAAAAACTGAATAATATATTTCTTAGAGTCCGAAACTATAAACTACTACAATATTTATATTTCTTATAACTACAACTGATATCTATAAAATGACACTATTTAACATTTTTCATGTTCTGAAAACACAGACTTGGCAGTTATTTGAAATTTTTACCAAAAACCTTAGCCTCAAACTGCTCCAGATGCACAAACTTCCAGCTGTTTATTGTTTCTGCATAGATTTTCAATGATCCTAAAATTGAGAAACTTCAAATTAGCTCTCATGCAAGAAATACTTGCTAAATAAATTATAATTTGGATATAAACATCACTTGAAAACTGAGCACTCCAAGCCTTGTAGCGATAAGTATTGGAGCAACGTATATTGCCAAATCAAAAGTAAACATTTATAACGTATTTAAACGTCAAAGCAAGTATTTATAACAAGAGAAAAAAGCAAGTATTTAAAAACAAGAGAAATACTTTGAAGTTTCTCAACATTAACAGCACTGATATCCATGCAGAAATGTAAATTTTGAATATTTTTAGGCAGAATTAAGCTCCTAAGGACTTGAAATTGCACTTTTAATAAAGAAAATTTTAATTTTTGCACACAGCTTGGAACGAGCTGTGTGTGTCTAATTCCAAGCTGTGTCAGAATTAGTTTTTATATGTCTAAAACTGTCTCTTAACTTAATCATCTCCTATTGATTTTTTTACCACTTGAAAGCAGCAAATACAAGTATACTCAAAGGATCCCTAATATATTCACAGACATATTTAAAAGTCTCAAACCATAATATTCTTTCTACACAAACAGTTTATCACTATTTGGTAGAGCAAGGTCAACTATCAACTTTGACAAGTTTTTCAATGTTCTCACTGGGTGACACACTGTTTCTCTTTGGATCTCAACATTTTCCTGCCAGACAGCCCAGACCTAGTGTTTTGGCAATAGTATGGCACGTAAAAGTATGACGTCACTATTTCAACTATCAACAAATGCATGGAACTAAGACAAAGCTTAATGTAAAGGAAAAAAGTCAAGAAGTGTCGGAATTACCCACAATGTCAGATTGAACGGTTGGAATATACCGCGTTTACCCTACCTACTCTTTTATTTTAGAACATATTCATTGCACAGATTTGTCCAACTTGGATAAATGACCAGTGAACAGAATGGCAAAGCAGAGATTTTTCAAGACTCTTCCAGCTTCCCAAATTAATTTTTGAGTAGCTAGCCTACTGGGCTATAACTCTGTAAGTAGACAAGTAAAGTATCATGAATACTTTATACCAGCATAATAGGCAGCATTATCAATTTATCATATATTGGATTAGTGTTTTAATATTGGGCAGATGAGATGGTAAGAATATGGTAGCTAGTATAAGTAGGCTTGGTAGGAGTGAGTAGGCTAGGGTAAACGCGGTATATTCCGACACATTAAGGACGCATTGAGAAATGAAAAACTATACAAAAAAATATGCGTTACGCAAGTTCTGTTGCCTTCACGTGACTCTCAAAACACTTCACTACGTGTCAGCAACGATGAAACATCACAAAATGTTGCCATATTTATTAAAAAGCCTTTAGAATGGAAACCTACCAAATCCCTATATTCCGTCACTGTGTGTTAATTACCTACGATGTCGGAATATACCGCGTTTACCCTAATAAAAAAAATAACCCTATTAGGACTACTACTACCTAGGTACCTAATCATAATGTTAATGCCACCTAGGTCAAGAAAAAATTCTAGTAGCCTACTCAAATTTTGTAATGGATTTGGATTTGGGGCGTGGTGACTCTGAGAAAAAGAATTTCAGGGTCAAGCCTTTGCAATGCAACGGCCATCAGCCATGCATGACATTTTCATTTGTTAGTAAGAAGAAGAAAGGGAGACCAAGCCAGGTGGAAGCCACATTAAAGAGAAGAGGCTAGAAAAGGTGTGAAAGTTTGTGTTAAGGGCAAGATGTTATCAAGGGGAAGAGAAGTTCAAGGGGAAATTCATTGGTTTATTATTGCTATTTGTCAATTATTGCACTGTGTATTTGATAATTATATTAGCTATGGGGCCTCATAGGCCCTGAGTGACTATTTGCATTATATTATATTATTATGGTTTGGTTATTCCAATTTTATTATTATTATTGCTTTTTTCTTACACCTTCCCAGCCTCCACTCTAGCCAACCTCCTCCTATCCCTCACCCTCCAACATAGTGGCAAAGCAGAGAGTTTTTTAGACCTGTCTCAAGTTCATTTTTGAGTCCTATAAGTAGACCAGTAAAGTATCATGGATAGGCTACCAGCATTATCATACTTAAGAAATTGGTTAAAATCTTAAGTAAATGAGGAAATTAAAAATGAACTGATTCTAAAAAATCTCTCGTTTGTCACTATGCCCTCCAAGCACTCTCCGAATTTCCGAAAATAGCTTTCCACCGATCCACACTCAATCATAGCAGCAGTTACCCCCATCATAGTGGCAAACCAGAGCTTTTTTAGAATCAGTTCATTTTTAATTTCTTCAATTACTCAAGATTCAAACCAATTTCTTAAGTATGATAATGCTGGTATCCAGGATACTTTACTGGTCTACTTATAAGACTCAAAAATGAACTTGAGGGAGAGTCTAAAAAACTCCTGCTTTGCCACTATGAGTCCCCCATTGACAGTCCCACAATCATTGCAATCCATTCATCTCCTGTTCACTCATACATCACACCATCACCCTCATTCCTCTCATCCAATGATCCAGTATCACACTCATCATTTCAAGTTGCTCCCGCTCATATGCATTACACTCCATCATCAGATGTTCCACAGTTTCCCTCTCACCTCTGTGAGGCTGAGAGGCTCTGTCACGCATAAAACAAATATCTTCTCTTCTATTGAGTTCTATCATTCCACCTGTATGTCCGTGCAGCATGCATTCACACTCAACGCACTTGCTCTCACACAGAACATTAAGTCTCCACCTTTAGCTACTCCTACTTCCATCATATTAATATATTCATAAGTCATAACTTGGCATTTGGTAATGCATCTGGCTTGGTAGCCTAATGCATCTTCAAACAATTATCATCTACCAAGTTCTCATGAAATGTAAGTAGGAAATATACTAGAACATGTAACCTAGGCAAGGATTGAGAATTTGAGATGCCATTATAAATCATTCATGCGGTTATGGGTGTCACGTACAGAAAGCCGGGAACGGTATCGTCGGTACGACTACTAGTCTACTATACCTAGCATAAAAGTGAACAAGGTCAAGTTGCTATGTAAACTAATAAATAGTTCGAGACCAAGCTAGATGACCGAAAAAATTAACATCAACTGACCTGGAACGAAGTAAAATCATAAAACACAATTCCAAATTTTACCACCTACATTTCGTACAACATTCTTGTGATTCTACGTTGACGGTGAGAGAAGCTAGCAAATTTTCAAAATTGAATCCCGGGCTCAACTGCCGCATTCATTACCCTAACTAACGAACATCGTTTCCCCATAGAAATATGATGATAAGAAAATTCATAGTTATTAGGCACTATAGGTTATACATTGACATCAATAAATTTTTCGATTCATCTATTTCTATTATTATTGTGTTATATATTATTGATGATCAACATTCAGTATATTTCAACCAGCGCTTTCAGAGTCGAAAATTATTTTAAATATATTCATATCGACTACTGACAACCTGACAAGTGAATTTAGCGCTTCTGGCTGTTCTTCATTTATTATTTTGATAAGAATATAACATTAGTAAATTGGTTTCTAGGCACGTGTTCAAAAAGTTACGTTGAAATCGGTATTTATCTCATCAGACTCATCTCATGCCGTGTTGCGCCCCGAAAGCTAATCCTCAAAAGAAACTAGTGCCAAATTTTTGCGAAATTGCGAGTCATTATAATTTATGCCTAAAATATGTCGTGCATTGTAAAAATTTCATTTTTTGAGGATGAATCGACAGGATGTTTACAATTTATTGAGAAAAGTGGTATACGCATAATGACCCTATGAAGTTGTAAACAGTAGTAAGCGTAGCAATACTTCGTAGTACTTTGTAGTCTTTCCCACTCGAGATTTAAATCTAGATTTTAAAATAACGGCAATTGATAACCTTCTAATCCTGTTTATGTAAATCATGTCAATTTAAATAGTAAATATTTTTTACGTATAAATATGTGGTGTAGTAGATTATATATAAAAAAAGTTGCCAATCTCTGAAATTGAATTGAGGCTTGTTGGTATTGTAACCTGAATAATAAATAACTGATCTACCATAGCTGCATAGCATAGGCATGGCCTGAATTACCTAACCTAACCATGGCTGAAGTTCTGAACTACCTGAAGTGAAGATTTCTGTATGAATCTATCTTTAAATTTGTATTTAGGTTCGATTGGTTCAGGAGGTTATATACTCACTACCTACATAGAGGGAAATACAGAAGGCGTAATGTGCAAGCAAGTGCATAATTTTAATTGATAAATTAGCTATTAGGTATTTGATAAGAACTGGTGATATTCAGATAGTTCAACAGCCTGACCAGGTGATTGGTATTTTGGATCTAATCAAGTTACTTACCAGCACCAGGTTTGGTTGATAACTTGATCTTATTCTTATATGTTATATGTGCAGACTGCAGTGAACCAACATTCCTTCTGTTTCAAACTGGAAGAGGAGTTATAGGTACCTAGAAAATATTTAAACTGGCAGGAAGATATTTGTACAATTTTATTATGACATACATTATAAAGTTCCCTTATCAGTTAGCTAAATTAAAAGCTGCATGCTATGATCCTTGTGTAACGGCCATTGAAATCATTTTGTTAGTAAGTATGCTTAGTAATAACATCAGAATCTAGGAAGTGATTTGAATCACTGCTCCCAGTCCCAAGTGCAATTTTTGCATGGTAGGCTACCTAGCTATATTAAATATTGCCAATTGCCCAGGGTGCAGAATGCTGATTGCAGAATGTTGGAGAGTATTGCAACTTGCAAGATCTTTGGTGAGGTATCAGCAGCAAAATTTAACACTTTGACTGCGACGTGCGCCATATTTGGTACACGCATGCATGTCCCAAACTGCAATGTGCGCCATATATGGCACACGCTTAAAAAATTTAATTTTTTAACAAACACTCTTTAAAATATCAGCCAGATTGACATAAACTTGTGAAAAATATGATGGATAATTGACAATAATGTTTTCAAAAACCTATATGAACGTCGTGCAATCGAATCATAAGAATCTTAGTAGTTGGAATGTAGCCTGAAATAATGGGTGGGTACGAAAAAGAAAAAGTATTAAATAAAGGGAGTTATCCTGTTCCAATATGTTGAATATCATTTTTTTTATTGGTATGAATTATAGCAGTAGAAAAAAAGTATGTCATTCAAAACAGGCATGGAATATATCTACTTGGCGAGCCGCGACTGAATTTTTTGAGCCGTGATTTTATGGATTTGCCAGCCGTGATTCCATTTCTACGAGCCGTGTGTCTGACCTATTACTAGTGAAAATACATTCAGTAATCTTCAACGACTTCAGCAATTTACATCGATTTTTACTGACTATAGAACTGATTACCAAGCACCCAGGCATTTGTTACAGTTTTTGCCAATAACTTGAACAATTGTTGGTACCACTTCATGCTTTGCTTAGAGCAGTATTGTAAGAAATCATCTAAATGAACTATAAACTTCCCATTTAGCAGCATTTTGCCCCAGAATGATTTGTAGTTTGATTATTGCAGTCACAATCCGATTTCATTGGCACAGAAAATGTTTTTTTCAAGCGTTAGTACCCGTGTGATGCAAATTTTTTATTGTAGTTGAATAATAAATGTTGTGTACCTCATATGGCACACATTGCCTAGAAAGATGAAAGTTTCCATCCCAGGCGACATGCACCAATAGAGGCTCACGGTTTTTATGTCAGAAGCTTGTAGAACTTGCTCAGACAAGAGCAGCGCACTAGCCCTGTTCTCGCTGCCTTGTCGTAACTTAAGTTATTCAAGTTTGAATGAGTCGCACCACTGGAATACAGGCTATTTTGCGAGTCACAGTCAAAGTGTTAAGCCTTCAAAAGATCTTGCCAACACATTCGGATTGAAGTTATTGCATTTTAGATTTTTGCCAGTTTTTGGCCAACTGTTTAGAAAATAGCTGAAAATCTGAAAGACCGCAAGCACACACAGTAATGTTCCTATTTTCTAGTATGTTGGATGGATCAGGATGCAGTGAAGCTTGTCCAGAAATCAATTGTTATAAGTGTAAGTGTTGCAGTGCATGGGGAGTAAGGGATATATTATCAAGGTTGTTAGCAGCATTTTCTTGTTAAAGATTATCTGACGACGCATCCTGAAGATGGCTGACAACATTTTGGGCTAAAAATCCATACCGTAAAATGGGGTAACTTAGGCCAGCAGGGTAACTTAGACCACTTTTCATTTTTTTAAGAAAAACCCCCAAAACTCAAAAACTATTTGACATAGAAAAATTTTGTCAATGGGCATTAAAGGCCTAATACTGAGGCTACATAACTCAATAGAAAGATTTAAAAAGTTTGCATATCTAATAGGTTAAAAAATTAAAAATGTGACCCACAAAAAAAAGCTATTATTTAAAGCCTGTCAGAGTACCCCCTCCAATTTTTTAATTTTTTGGTTAAATAACTCCACGTTTTGATGCATTGTAGTAGAACTCTTCTAGTTACATATGCAAATGACAAATTTTAGGAAAGTGTCATGGTTTGCAAATGGGGGGCACTGCCCCCAAATGGGGGAACTTAGACCACCTGATGTCAGCCCTGATGGGGTAACATAGACCGGCTTGGAAGTTAATATAAAACATATAATATAAAACATAACATATTTTATGTTTGACAACCTATTTATGTTTTTTCTTTATGTTTCAGACTCTACAGAGTCTTATATATTGTAATTTTAACTTAATTTCCAAGCCAGTCAATATTTACCCTGTCAGGGCTGCCATTAGGTAGTCACATTTCCCCCATTATGGGGCAGTGCCCCCCATTTGCAAACTATGACACTTTCAAACTATTTGCATATGTAACTAGAAGAGTTCTACTACAATGCACCAAAACCTGGAGTTATTTTACCAAAAAATATAATTGATTTTACCACCCGGTCTATGATACCTCAAGAGCTGGGGTAACAAAGACCGTCATTTTTTTTAAAATTACATAAAGACTATGAGAAGAAAGAGCCAGCAATTTATGGTGAGGGAAGCTAGAGTATAGACCTGTATTTTACATGTTTCAATTCAAGTTTAATTTAGCTAGTAAAAAAATGGCATTTATAAAAAAAAAAGTGGTCTAAGTTACCCCATTTTACGGTATCTTGGTGATGCAGCTTGCAAGCTCTGCACTCTGAGGCCTGTCAATCGCCAACTTAATAAAATACATTGAATTGATAATTGATTTGACACCAGCAACTTAACCAGGGTGCAGAGCTTGCAAGCTGCATTGCCAAGATATGGATTTTTAGCCCAAAGCATTGTCAGCCATTTTCAAGATGTGTCGCCAGGTAATTTTTGATAAGAAAATGCTTCTAACAACTTTGATAGTATATCCCTTACTCCCCACTCCCTGCAACACTTACACTCATTGTAATTGATTTCCAGACAAGTTTCACTGCATCCTGATCCATCCAACATACTGGAAACCTTACTCAGTCTTACTGTGTGTGCTTGTGGTCTTCCAGATTTTTAACTATTTTCTAAATAGTTGGCTGAAGACTGACAAATGTCTGAAATGCAATAATTTCAATCCAAATGTGTTGGCAAGATCTATTGAAGGCATAAATTTTGCTGCTGATGCTTTGCTAAAGCTCTTGCTATATTCACCCATTTTCTGCACCCTGGCAACTCAATTACACTGGCAATTTGTGCACTGGGCCATTGGCAGAAGTTTGGTTTGTACCTCTCTTTTTTCAGATCAGATTTTATGTTTAATATTTATTTTTTTCTTTTCTAATTAAATTTTCTTATCTAATTAAATTTTTTTATTTTTTTTCAGTGAGTTTCACTTTTTATTTATATTTACATTAACTACTGTATTAACAACTGCTGTTATTACATTATGGCTCCAGTCAAGGGTAAAAAAAAGTCTGCTGTTGGAGAGTGGATTGATGGAAAAGTCATCAATTTCAAGTAAGTGCAAGTAAAAGATGCATACTAAATTGCATTTCCTTTTATGTTTATATAAATATTGTTACATTTATATAAAATTTTGTAAATATTTATACATATTTACTACAACATTGGTATTTTGTTTTTATTGACATAATTTTTAGCTTATTAATGATATGCCTGTGTCCCAAAGATGAAAAGACAGGTTTGTGTCCATCAAGTTATTTGGTTTTTGTCATTATAATCATTTGCTATCTCTGTCAGTTTCCTAATGTAAGGTAAGATTACAAGAATACTTTTTTGTCACCAATCACCATTTGACTCTATTCTCTAATTAACAAGCAGTAAAATCTTTAGTATATTTTCTTAACCTTTGCAATTACAGCTTACAATTATAAACATTAATTATTTGAAGTTCATTTCACCACTTTTGGGCATCAATGTTTTTGTAAGGTTTTAACTCAGTTTAGCTGAGCAGGGCAGTCTGTGCATGCTGTGTGTTAACTTGGTTCAGCTTATTATGGTCAACATTTATACAGGGTTTGCATTATCTAGCAGATATAATGTTGCCTTTCGAATAATTTCTAAATTCTTGTTTAGTTTGCATAGCCTGCAATTAAGACAATGGCAAATAAACTGATATTCAGTTGAAGTAAGAGACTCTCAAAAAAAAAAAAGCTATTTTACCTACAAAAAAGAATGTCTGATTATTTGATCTGCTCTTGCTACTCACTATTTGACTCTTATTAGGTTTAAAAGGTCATCCTAATATATGAGAAAAAAATTAGTGGATTGTCAGCAAGTATGTTTACCCTGACTTGTAATGCCTTGGTAGGAAAATTGTTTGTATGAATTGAACTTAACATTGCACCATGACTGTTTAAAAGTTCACAATTATATATAATTTTTTGCTTATCTTACCTCTGAAAAATCATACCATAATAAGTTACTTTTTTTATATTGAAATTTACTAATTCAGACATTTTATTTTCAGGTCAAAACTTTAATGTGTATTTGCATGGCCTTGTTAAGGCCTTTTTAAGTTTTTTTATGCATGCATTAACAAATATGTTAAATTTAATATTTGAACCTTTTGAGTTGTGCTTGTGAATTATTTTTTTGTGTTTTTCATGCGCAAGCCCCCTATATTAGCCAATATTTTGACCCTCCTCACAGCCTGGCTTCTTTTTATTGATTAACGTTAAGGCAATTTGAAACCAAAAAATTTCAGATGAATTCATGATTAAATTATTTTTTGATGGTTGTTTTTAATTTAAGCCTAAGGCCTTTTAAAAAATCTGATAATCTCCTAAAATGTTATTTTTATTTTCAGGAAAAGTTCCAAAGAAAAAGGTCCAGATAAATCTAAGGTGTGTGGAATTAACTCCTAGTTTAAGTAATTCAATTTACTGAATATTTATTATATGTATGTAGGTAATTTTTTGTGAATATGGAATTATAAATAAATGTTTTCATTCATTATATTTGTCATGAACTACCATTAAAAATACTGAATAATTTATTTATAATATTAATTTTCCATTCATTCAAATACTATACACATGGATAAAACTGTTGCCTATTGTAAAAGAATAAATCAATTAAATAGTTTATTTTGATTCTGTTTGTTGAACAAATGGAAATATGTGCAGATCCCAGACCCAAATGCCAGTGTCACCCTAAAGCGGCTTAACATCTCAATCCATAAACTGCCTGGCTCGCCAAATTCACCACACCGAGCCAGCATGCGACGCACTCGCCGCATGTCTATGGCACCTGTGGCTGCAAGAGCTCCTACAACTCCTGTCAAAAAAACTCCCTCTACATCAAAAATTCCAAAATCGGTGCCTAGCAAAAGCATGACGCAAACCAGCAGTGCTCCTGTTGCAAAAATGGTGGCTTCTTCATCTCCTGGGTAAAACTAATCTATAGTTTGCTGGATGTTTCCAATTTGTGGAAGTACTAATATTTTTTGACTGGATATCTTAATTTCTTCATCTGAAAAAATATCTAAAAAATTAAATTAGTGATTTATGCTCAGAAACCATCATATGTCTTCCTTTTTTTTCAGTAAGCCAAATATGCCTCCTGCTGGTCATTTGCCAAGATCTAGAGCCAGATCTTCAACATCTATGACACGTCAGTCTCGCACCATTACCGCTCCCCAAAACACAGAAGATAGCTCTTCACACAACGAGTCTTGGATTGAGCAAATTACGTCACCAAAGGTATTTTACAGAGTCTCTTCACCTGGTAAACTCATGGGCGCTCAGAGGAGGAAATCTTACTCTACTAATGTTGTCCAAGTAGAGTTGCAGGATTTGTCCCAGGTTAGTGTCAACTACTTTTACATCAAAATTAAAAAGGAATAACATAACTTGTTCCACCAACGATTTTAGTTTTCCTTGAAATTGTCTATCTTATTGTTATAATATTTCTTATTGTTTGTTATAATATATTTGCTACAATATATTTGTTTGTTATAATATATTTATATTATATAATATATTTGTTGTAATATTTCTTATTGTTGTTTATTTGTTATTCCTTATTGTTATAAGATTTTTTTGGAAGCCTTGCTCCTAATATTTCCAGTGAAGCTTTTAGATGATTTTTTAAACGAATTAGGTACCAAAATAATGTTCAGTAATTTTGCAAAATTCTATATACTGTATTGCTTTCAGCCAGTGCATGAGCGTTCTGAGTCTCCTGTGCTTCAGAAAAAGATAAAAGTGAAGCCAGTTGTGAAGAAACCTCCTCGGCCACGTACTGGGTCTCCCAGCTATGGCAAACGTACGACCAGAACTGCTAATTCAGCATCAAAACTTAGAGCTACTCAAGAAATGACCAAGTCGTCTTCATCTGCGTCATTGAAGAATCTTCATACTTCTTCAGAAACAGTTTCAGAAAAATCCACCCGCTCTTCTAACAGGAGAATTCTAAAGTCATCTGAAAATAAGTCTGCAGTCAAAGTCAGGCCCTTTCGAAATGAAAACAAGTCACTTGCTTTAAAACCTGATTCTGAAAAATTATTAAAGCGTGCCAGGTCTGAATGCTCCTCAGTTACCTCTCGTTCTGCTGGGGCATCTCCAACCAACATGGAAGTTCCCGCCAAACGTCCCAGAAGAAATCCACGTGATTCAGAAAGTGAATTATTGCACCAGGGAACAAACTTGACAACATTTAAGGAATCTGAAAAAATATCAAAACAAAAATCTGCTGAAAATCCCAAATTATACTCTACAAATACAAATAATTCTCAAAAACGAAGCAATTCACAATTAAAAATCTCTACAAAATCCCTGTCATTGAAAAGAAGGCAGTCTTCAATTACTCAAAAAGCGAAAAGCAGCCCCACTTCTGGTAAATCTCCTTCCGCCTCTCCGCCTAACTTTTCCTCAGACTCAGAGAGAAAAACCACTCCTGCTCTGTCCCCGAGCAGGAATCGCACCGGCGCGCTCACTCGCTCAGCCAGACGCCGAAGTGTCAAGAGAGTCACCATCACTGGAGCCTCGCCTTCACTTACAGACAAGGTTCAGGCAACTCCAAAGCCAACATCTCTAGATACGGAAGAAAAGAAGACAAATAATAAGAAAGTTCCCACTGGAGATCAAGGTATTGAGTTTGAAACGTACAGTGGGATGCATTTATGATATATTCATCCCAGAAATTTATTCATGAACTGAACATTAAATTGTGCTTTAGTTACGAAACTGTTCTAAGGCTAACTAACGTGTCTTACCTGTAAAATAATTTGTTGTTCACTGCAGAATTGAAAACTAATTCACTTGCATTCTACTTCACTTGATTACCGAACATAGGATATTAGTGCATGATGATCAATGTTAATAAGGTGTTAATGGTTAGTTCTTTATGTGGCCCGACGGCTTACTGTGGAGATTTTCAATGTATCACTTGAAAAATAGTCAACCTTTAGTACCCTAGTTACCGGTCTTCGATGCGAGTAGCATTACGAATGGTTGCGGCATCCATAGTTGCTGTTCTAAGAGGCTGCATTTACGCAGGTTCTTCGTCGCCGCAGCTGTCGCGCTACCTGTCGCGTGGTGTCCTTATCCCGCCCAGTCCCGTGGGGCGGCTCGTGAGAGCCTCACGCGCCAACCCCTTCACCCCAAAACCCGAGGCAGTGCCCAGCAAACTCCTACAGCAGACCATGAAGAAGAAAATCACCTCTGAGATCTCCTTGAATAATGTTTGTGATGAACGTGCAGTAGGTCACTCCCAACTCTGACCTGAGACCGTCAATTATTTATTTAAACAGTGAACATATAGTACAGAATTCATGTAGGTATTTATCTGGTATCTGAACGGTAGTGTTTGGTCAGCTTTAAGTTGACTATAATCACAAATAAAATCTCTTAGTTAAGTAAGTTACCAAAGCCTATTAAAAGTGGAATCCATGTCCAGATGCCAGTGACATCTCTGATGGACTCTTCGATCGCGCGCCCTGTGACCCCCACCCGCCTCTTTAGGACTGGGGCTCTCGTGTCGAGGTCAACCCCCGCATCATCCCCCTCCCTCCCCGCCACTCCTCCCTCAGCCAAGTATGCCAGCCGCTCCCTCAGGTGTGTTTTTGCTCTTACGTAAACCAACTTTCCGTCATAAATCGTGTTGTAAAACAAACCCATTTTACAGATGCCCATGTCATGACTGAAGAGTTTGCTGCTCGAATATTTGCGTTCACATTGCTGTATTCTCATTATTTTTGCTCGTTACCAGCATTCTATTTGTACTTCATTTCAAACTAATTTGGCTGTAATTTTAAACGATTCTTATCAATTCATAGGATTTGTCCATTTTTTGAGAGCTTATTGACATTTGCCACCAAACACTTCATCTTGTGATTTTCTGTTTCAATTTCATCACGGATATCTTTTAGGTCTTACCCCACCATGACCAACATTGTAAGTTTCCCTGACGGTGTATCTGATGTTAAACAACAAAAATTTGTTACTTGCATCGCATGCTGCTATAACTGCTAACTCTGCATGCTCAGTTCTGGACCTGGGTGTCATTGTGCCCCAAATACATTTTTAGCGCATTTTCTCCTTTATGAAAAAAATGCACTATTGTGCTCGCCACGTCCGTCTGTCTGTCTGTCCGTCCGTGACCTAAAGTTTTTGTCGACGAGAAAATGCGCTCTCTCACTCACTGCAGTGAGTTCTGAGTTATATTTTTTATAAGTATAACCAAATATTTCATCATTACACTTCAAAAGCAAAACTCTCTCTTATAGTGATGTTGTAATTCTTGACTATTTTTACAATTTTCATTCGAGATTTTATGATGCAACTTGAGCTTCCTATTTGAGCGAATGCATTCTGTGTTGTAACCCTGAAGTGCTATTATGACTTTCTAGAGGCATTGTTCTTGAGCGCCCCACCGCTGAGCTCGCGGTGTCTGACTGCGGGTCTCAGTTGTGGGGTTAAGTTATTATGTAGGTAGGATTACTTACATTAAGTTATTATGTAGGAAGGATTCCTCACATTTCCCTTCTATGTCTCTCTTGTGCGGGCGGCCGACGTCCCGTGTAAGCGACCTCTTTCTTGTTCGAGTGTCTTAGTTTCTGTTACTTTTCACCTGTCCCTCCTTGTCACTTCGTCTTTTTGATTGAATTGAGACCTTCCGCCCCATGTGTGTGATGATTAATTTGAGACTGAATAATATTGAGACCTTCCGCCTCGCTGGCGATGATGTAAACTTATGACCTCCAGTGTGAAATAGCTTGATAGCTAAAGCGCTAGCAAGCCATTTACTAATTACTTGCTTATTATGACTTTATGTAGTTCTTTTTTAGTCTATTTCTTAATCGTAGCATGTATGCCTTGAATGTAGAACAAGGTCATATTTTCATAATTAATGCAAAATAATTAATAATTAAGTCAGTCATGCAAGTAATCGTTTTTTTTTATTAATTTATTTTGTATGTTTCATATTTGTGCAGCATTTTATTTAAAATTGTATTTTGTAAGCTACAAAGTCTGAGTTTGAGATAACTTAGATTATCCGTTATTTGATACACTTGAAGTACTTCAGTTATTTTACACGCGTCTGTTTTTATATGAATAGAGAATTGGTCCAGGATCAACTTGAAACATTTACGTTCATTTCCTCGAGGTCGTATAGCTAGATTTGATGATCCATATCACAAGATGAAACTGATTTCCCTTGTACTAATGTATATTAATATTTGACTAATGTATGCAATGTTGTACTAATGAGTGCTAATATATGCTTCAGGATGGTGGCAACAGCTCGGCGCAATATCAGTGGCTACACGGAGGACAACTTCTCGCCGTCCGTTCCGCGCAACTCAACCCCACACCGCAGCTCTCCGCTGTATGCATCCTACCTCAGCAGCAGCACTGAGCAGACCCATGGCAACGGCACCAAAATATCGGACAAAGAGCAACACTGCGACATTTCTTCCGCTGAAAAGACTGTTGAATATTCTACCTCCAGCCAAGAGTATCCAGATTTCACTACATCAGTAACCGTGGAGGAGGAGCGATCTGAGGTTCTTTCTGTGACACACGATGGTGACTGTTTGGAAGGCAAAAATGGTGAGAAGGAGAACAATGTGAGCCAAATCCAGGAAAACGGAGCAGAGCAGGAAAAAACTTCAACAAAGAAGAGTTATTGTTCTCTTATGTAAAATCGCGATAGGCGAAAATATCCAGATGCTTTTGAAGCACATTACGCGACTTGCATATTAAGAAGACGGCGTTGAATAACTAAAATGCTAGTTAATATTTCACAATTTCGTATCTGACTGAAGAACTTATTGTTTTTAGTATATTTTTTATTAAGTAATACTTTTAAGTCTGGTTTATTCCATCTTAGTCGTTTAATGTTCTTTTATTTAAACTATTGCGCCAATCCCTCGTACAAATTCAGCTTTTGTGTACACTTTAAAATTATGTGCAAGTTATCAATTTTAAATCTTATGAAATTTTTGTTAAATCGAAGTAAGGCGTATCATGATGCCTTAACCATTCATTCTCTGGCGGTACCTTTTGTGGACAAGTCTTTGGGTCCGAATAATATTGGCGGCGGAACTGATCTAAGTTTCATACATAAAAGTACTATGGGAGGCATTATTCATTACATTCTTCGTAGTTAATATAAAACTCAAGGTGAGGTGGTTTGTGCGCTGGGTAAATGCTTCATTAGCACTTCACATCTTTCATGACCTATAGATCACGATAGTGAGTGTAGTAGCGTAAACTTAGACTAGCTCGGGAATGATCACCCTGATAGTACCTGATGATTTTATTTGTAATCTTACCGTGTTCACCGACGCATAGGTTTGATTTACTATAAGCCTTTATTGTAGTTATTGCACTGACATCAGGAGGTTACGATGTGAACCTGACAGGACCTATTTTTTCGAATTCAGAAATTTTCAGCTTGTTCAAGAAAAATGTATGCAATTTAATAAATAAATTTACGACAGCTCTTGCGGCATACAAAACTTGTACTATGGTAATCTCAACGCAGTAATTTGCCGAATGTAATTTAATAAAAATATAACTTCCAATTATAAAGCTATTCGACATTCCATAAATTGAATTCAATCTGTTCGCCTATAATTCTATAACCTGTCCAATTCTGATATACCGATGTTGTACTACATTCCGAGCAGATAACAATCGTCCCAAAATTTGTAAAAACTTCGTCCTAAGGAGAAATGCGATCCTTATTCCAACAACTTCCTCGCATAAAATCTTTACCGCGAAGAAACAAGTTAAGATTTCTGAACAAAAAAAAAAAACATTTTAAATAAAATTCAATTCATAGTTTTCACATAAAATCCGGTGAAATACATATTAATGATAAGAACTTAGTCAACCATTCCTCAAATACAATTCAGGCAATTTCTTGCCAACATAATGAAATCAACGGCCTTCAAGTTAAAAACGAAACGTCCTAAGCAACAACCATAACTACACCTGTACCGAGGAGAATTTCAGGTGAAAACACAACCTCTCTTAGAAAATCCAAGACAAAATATCATTACCAGGGGCGAAGGAGAAACTTGTCAGCAATAAACGGTTAAGGCTTCGGTAGGCATTTAGCGTTGACTATGGCTAGATAAGTACTCCATAAAGCACTATGTAAGTAAAGGGACCCCCGAGGCGAGACGATTCGCCACGATCTCCCACTGTCAGTACTAAGAGCAAATAATGTTTAGGAGAATGAGAATTTCTCGTTGAACCATTAGTTTGCTGGTTCAAAACGCACACCGAGTCTCCACAATCAAGCGACCACCATTGTTTCTATAAACAATTACTTTTATCGATAACGAAACTCGCAAAAAAATGATTTAATCAGCGAATTAATTGGATTTAATGAGCGAATTATGCGCCGCTTCAGCAGTCGCGATCAGCAGATCACATTCAAATAAAATAACGGCCCAATTGAAGGTGCATATTCCTTGGCAACTACAAGAGAACATTTTCACGAATACTCTTCTCCATTCTTGCACACACGATGTGTCACAAAAATAAACTTAGCAACTCAAATTTAAGAGTAAATGAACAGAAAGAAAAGCAAATAACTTGAATTATCCGAAATCGCACAAATCTTAACTTATCACATGTCAGTGACTGAGAGTTTGCGTTATTTCGACCATAATTTAAGTAATACCAAAATAAGTGGTAATTCGATAACAAAACTTGTTTCCACACCTCGGTAAATAGTTGTTCACGGTATTAAATTATCATGGAAACATGCAATCATTACAAGGAATTGATACGATCAAAATTGACAATTATTCCAAAGAAACACTCTTCAGTTCATCACACAAATTGCACTAAGTCAAGATATATAAATTCATCATAAACTGAATTTAAAATTGAAATATCAGGAATCAGATCTTGAAATGGCTTAGAGCGTTTTATTACACTTATAGACGAGTAGATTTTTTCATTAAACGACTTCGTCTAGCCTTGAGAAAGAAAATCTGTCAACTCAAATCTCTTTGATGATAAACGCCCGTTTCAATGATAGGTATGCGGTGCATTTAATCTTAATTTTAGCAACAACATTAATTCATGTCAGAATAAATAAATGTTGCTCAGATGCATTATTGGTGAAGTTGAGCTATAAAGAGAATTAAGTGAGTATTGAAATCGTAACAAATATGATTATATCAGTGCATTTTTTCAGCAAAACCTCATTGCAGAACAATTGTAAATCACACGAGTCTTCGAATAAATCAGGGGCCATACTTTCAAAACTCGCTCAGTGAACGTAAATACTTACGCTCTATTTTCTTGTCTATGATTGGTGGATTTTGCTTGAAAGGCCGTGAATGATTGGCTGATGAACTTACGATCTCTTAACTTTTTTTTAAAGTATAGGCCCAGGGCCACAAAGTGAAATAATTACTATGTAATATTTCCTTCAAATTAGACCCATCACAGCGAACGACTCTAAGCTTTGTCATCCAGCAAACGAGTGCCGTACATTGCAAATTCCAGCAACGTGATAGCCTTTATAAGTAACATTCTAGGTGAAAACGGGAGGATTAAATGAGTTCAGAGAAAATTTTTATAGATTGAGATAAGCAGAGGTGAGGTACAAGTAAATGTTGGATAAGCCTCGCCGGAGATTTTAGGCCTGGCATGTGATAAATAAAAACAGCCGAATACACTAATGGCGTTATCAGTCAGGAAAAAATATTGATAGGTGAAGAACCGAATTAGTAGACGGAGGAAATTTATCGGACTTTGAGGACAGTGAAGGGGCGCTCCCTGAAGACCTGCTGGAGGTGTCCTACGCCGCGTACAGAGCCCTGACGCAGCAGCAGACGCGCGCCCACGCTCACGTACTCAGGCTGACGCAGGAACCGCAGCAACACCGACGACGGCTGCGGTACAGCAATGTTGAGTATACAATTTATAGACGAGTACACAAGGTATACATGAGTATACAAGGTATACATGAGTATACAAGGTATACATGAGTACACAAGACATACATGAGTACACAAGGTATACATGAGTATACAAGGTATACATGAGTACACATGGTATACATGAGTACTACAAGGTATACATGAGTATACAAGGTATACATGAGTACACAAGACATACATGAGTACACAAGGTATACATGAGTATACAAGGTATACATGAGTACACATGGTATACATGAGTACACAAGGTATACACGAGTACACAAGGCATACATGAGTATACAAGGCATACATGAGTATACAAGGTATACATGAGTACACAAGGCATACATGAGTACACAAGGCATACATGAGTACACATGGTGCACATGAGCACGCTGTTGTTCCTTAAAATTAAGCGGTACTATTACAATGTAACTTATCCTGCTTATAGCTTGTATTGCAGTGTAAGAGAAATGTGGTACGGTTTTATCAATAACTCCATAAGATCATTAGAGAGCTGCCAGTCAGTGACCGCAAGAGCGCCATTTCACGTTGTTTCATGACTGATAACAACAATATCTTTTGGATGATATGCATGCAAACAATCTGGCAGCCTTCAGAATAAAGTAACTGTGGAAAATATTATCAAAAATATTTTCGAGAAATTCGCATTTTACTCCCTGAATATTGGTGCTTATCCTGGAAGCGACTTCGCAATAATCAAAGAGCCTCGTTAAAAACAAACTTCCAAACTTTGAGACACATTCATATCAGTTATTCTCTATAAATGCTATGAATCTGTCTACAAATGAAGCAAATTCACGGCATAACTGCTATAAATCTGATTCAAGCAGTGAAGCAATAGTTCATAAAATGATATAGTAACGGAGAATATTAGAACAAATAACGCGTTTCGGGTCAACAATTCACGAATGATACAAGTTTGACTCGTCGGAGATTTGCAAGCTGCACTAATACATAGGGAACTAATTTTGAAATGTGAAACACTCAGAGGAATGAGAGACGCTTCGTCCAAAGATTCATATTTTATAATTTTGCGGGTCATACTAAAACAGTTTGCAAATAACGTCTCAGTGAAACGTCTTCTCTCTGTTCCTGCTGTAGTTAAAAAAGTCTGTCGCTATTTGGATAACATGAGGCATTTATTTTTTTGCGAGTACAGCCTCCTGAGGAGGGATAACAGGAGGGATACAGGAACAGAAGGGATAACAGGAACAGGAGGGATAACAGGAACAGGAGGGATAACAGTCACACTTTACTATAATCACTCACATAAATATGTATACCTGCACTCTCGCCTGCGTGCCACACTTTACTATAATCACTCACATAAATATGTATACCCGCACTCTCGCCTGCGTGCCACACTTCACTATAATCACTCACATAAATATGTCAGAAAAAAGCACAGTAATTTGTGGGGTATGTCAGTTAATAAACTGTAGAAAATATTAAACTTAAGCCGAGTGCCGTGGTCTGCGCGGGATAATTCCAGAAACAGGCACATCAGAGTGACAGACATCTAAGTCATGTCTGGTTGCTGCATTTAGCTGCTTACAATAGATCTAATTAATAAAATAGGGCATAATCCACGCCAGAACACTCTTGATGAGGGGATTGTTCAAGTATAATAGTAGTATCATATAATACATAATAAACAATAATAATTTGAGTAATATAATAGTAAGACTTTAGGAAACAATATAAGGCATCATTTTGTGAGGGAGAATATGAAGGCTAATTCTCGGTCGTAATATCATATTCAATTGAGATTCAGATTATACACAAAGCCTATCAGCCTCATGGAGACATGCCATCGGTTAGTAAGATTCTCATGAAGTGAAGATATCAAGAGGCAATGAGTTAAATACAGTTAAGTACTGAGAACTGAATAAAACATTCGAATACTTGTACTCGGAGTTCACTCTAAATTGCTGTCCCCAAACGATGACCTTTGTTAAGCCAGCGATACAGCGCGAGTGTACGTGGAAGTATAGGGACTCTATAATAGAATTCTTATATAGGGACTCTATAATAGAATTCTTATATAGCGACTCTATAATAGAATTCTTATATAGCGACTCTATATAAGAATTCTTATATAGGGATTCTATAATAGAATTCTTATATAGGGACTCTATATAAGAATCAAGTAGGAAGCAAACTCGTGATGCGATGAATGACATCTACAAATGAATTACGAGTCAACAAATGAATTAAGTCAACAAATGAATTAACGATCAACAAATGAATGAATAATCAACAAATGAATTAACGATGAACGAATAAATCAACAATAAACAAATGAATCAACAATCAACAAATAAATTAACGATCAACAAATGAATGAACGATAAACAAATAAAGCAACGATCAACAAATAAATCAACGATCGACAAATGAATCAACGATCACGATCAACAAATGAATTAACGATCAAGCAAATAAATCAACAATCAACAAATAAATCAACAATCAACAAATAAATCAACAATCAACAAATAAATCAACAATCAACAAATGAATTCACACCACTAAAGACAAGCCCATACAAGACCTGGAAGTAGTAGGCAGCGGAGGGTTTAGTCTCGGGCGCGAGGAGCTTCATGCCCTTCCTGATGGCGGCGGCGTCGACGCCTGCGAGGCAGAGAGAGGCGGACTGGCCGGCGCAGACCATCTTGCAGGGCACCTTGTGGCGGTGGATGCTCTCCACCGTCACCGCGCGGAACTCGCACGTGTCGAAAGGGCCTGTGTTGTAAACAACATTTATTGTAACGACATATATCGTCGCACTTGTCAAACATCCATCATCGTAAGGGTCACAACATATTTCATCACACGAGTCAAAACATTTATCATTTCACGTGTCAAGAGGGCATCTACAAGGCTACACGATGTCCAAAACATCTCATGAGAGAGTTCGCTTTAAACAGATCAGCGATGAGTAGTTCCAAAAGACACAATACACGTCTCACACGAATATTTCGGCAAGTCTTCCGTCACGCTCTTCACCCCAGACACTCATCAGTCCCGTCTACACCCCTCTGCAACAATCTGCAATGGCATCATCCTCTTAGAAAAAAAAATCCTAGGCGTCACCTGGGAAACCCACTACCGGTATACGTTTTTTCCTCATGTCAAAGCCGTATAGCCACCAAAGCAACAGGCTCCTTACGTATCTTAAAAACCCTGGCCGGCACCTACTGGGGCTTCTCTAAGGACATTATTGCCACCTACCGGACAATTACTCGCCCAATCCTCAATTATGCTGCCCCCATCTGGTACCCTGTTGTCTCACGCACTGCCATAGCAAGCCTCCAAACCATCCAAAACTCAGCCCTAAGACTAGCCACAGGCTGCCTCAAAATGGCCCAATCGCCCATCTCCACCATGAGACCGGCGTCCTTCCCCTGCCCGCCCACCTGAATCTGGCCTGTGCTCAATTTCTCGCCAGCGCCCCCCAGCCTACCCATACTTCATTCAGCATCGTCTCCGCTCCCCTCGGAGACCGCCCCATGAAAGCTTCTATCAAGACGAGATTCGGCCACCTTGTGGCGCCTTTCCTGGCAGACGGTATCATGTCCGATGGTGCCTATGGAGAGGCCAAACGCTCCCTCCGCAGGAAGATAGCCTCCCGTGTTGCGGCGACCGCCGTTTACAACGCCGTCCTCGCAGCCCCGCCACCACCGATTGCAGCAGAAGAGGCCTTGCTTCCTCGCCCCTACCGCTCGGCGCTATCCCAGCTCCGCACGTGATACTGTAGCTCCCTGTCGTCCTACACCTTCATGGTCGGACGCTCCCCTAGCGCCGCCTGCTCGGAGTACGGGGATCCCCTCCAGTCAGTCCAGCATCTCTTCGCCAATCCCGCCTTCGCTACGTCCCTAAACGTCTCTTCATTGCAGCACATCCCGATGGAGGCGGCGGCGTTCCTGGCCACCCTCCCTGCCTCCGCCCATCTCCCCCCTCTTCCGGAGCCCCCCCCCCCATCCCCGGCCACCACCTGAGTCTCCACCCACGAGAGCGTTACGTCGGCGCAAGAAACAACACGAATATTTAATAAACCTAGTTTAAAATTGACTCGCCCAACGTGGGGCTCGAACCCACGACCCCGAGATTAAGAGTCTCGTGCTCTACCGACTGAGCTAGCCGGGCTTATACTCATCAGCCGAGACCCTCGCTAGAATTTAGATTTAATTCTATACAGAGTTGGAATTTTTAATAGCAGGAGCACTCAAGAAAAATTTCGATAAGTACAGTTGTAAATAAATTATAAGGAAAAGGTCCTGATGATAATAAAACATAACTATTTACTGTGAATAAACACGTTTAAAAAGCTGTAATTTTGCGCCTGTATGTGACGCCTTCGTAATCTTGTTTGCGTGATGCCGACCCATGATTTATGGTATAGTACATAGAAGTGTTTCCCGCCATACTGATGAAAATTCAGTTTGATCGAACTCATTGCACAAATTTTGTACACACAACTTAACGACTATAATATTTGCTAACCACTATCGTTTAACCATGAATTGGAAATGGGCTAGGGCTATGGGCGCGAATCGTAAGATTTTGTACTATATCTTAGCATACATGACTTCAGGCACCGCTATCAATTGTCATATAAAAGTGTCCGCCCAACGTGGGGCTCGAACCCACGACCCCGAGATTAAGAGTCTCGTGCTCTACCGACTGAGCTAGCCGGGCATACCTTACTAACTGGGGCCCTCACTATTATAGAGATTTAATTACGTACAGAGTTGGAATCGTTAATAGCAGGAGTACTCACGTAAACTTTCGTATGGTACAGTTGTACAAAAAAGATGGCGCAACGGCCCCAATTATAATATTACCAAGTTATTTATTGCGATTAATCCATTTAATAACCAGAAATTGAGCGCCTGTATGTGATGTCCTCGCAATCCTGTTTGCGTCATGCCGACCCATAATTTATATAGAAGCCTTATTCTTCATTCTAAAAATTCATTGTGATCGAACTCGAAGCACCAATCTTGAAAACTCACAACTTAGTGACAAAGATTTGAAATCACTATCATTCAATTATCTAGAAATTTATAAGCAAAGAAATAAAACTTTTGATTCCATTGACATGGTCTCAGATGCGGGGCCAAAGTAGAGAAAAGAGCAGTAAACAACGTTCCTATTGTCACACTTGGGAACATCTTCAGTATATCTGAGACTATGTCAAAGGAAATAAAAATTTTATTTGCTAATTACCTTCCGCGTGTAGATCTTGATGTGTTGTTAGACGTTAGTTAAAAAATTTTGGAATCGGCTCGTTTTATCAGGTATAAGGATACCCTCCCTGTTCTTATTCGATCGTCACTAGTTTGCAGATATAGTTGTGCGCAGTGCGCATAGGCGTACGTCGGTATGACATCACGCAATTTCTGTACCTACCAGGCTGGCTGAGCATAAGGACAGGAGTTATAGAATGAGGAGCCTAGTTGCACATTCACCTCATTCTGCTGTACGTGACCATGCCAAGCAGTGCAAAGTTCTTGCTTCCACATCCGGTGTTACTGATCTACGAATTTTAGAATCCCTGTATGTATTCTAAAAGAAGCCTGGTCTGAATGTCGCTTCTAGCTCCTTTCCTCTTGAAATAGTAAATAGATAAAAAATATAATTGGCCCGTTTACTAGCGTTCATTTCATGCCTCATTAGCTTCTTCCCGTTTTAATACCTAACAGTGCATTTTGCTTTGTACTAGATCGTAGTGTACATAACTCGAAGCACAGCTACCGGTATCACTTGTCTAACAAAAACATTCGCCCAACGTGGGGCTCGAACCCACGACCCCGAGATTAAGAGTCTCGTGCTCTACCGACTGAGCTAGCCGGGCATACTTAACGTACCCACTGTAATGTAATGTAGCCACTAGATTTAGATTTATTATTGTTGATATGATGACAAACAAATGTGTTGATGGTCACGGTGTTGAAAGCGGCTAAAGTTTTCAAATGGCAAGTGTATAAATACAAGCTATCTTATCTATATTGGGGCCCCTTTCTAGCGCATTTTCTCATTTATAGAAAAAAAGGCGCTATTGTGCTCGTCATGTCCGTCCGTCTGTCCGTGACTTCACGTTTTCGTCGACGAAAAAATTCGCTCTCTGTCACTCACTGCAGTGAGTACACATAAGAGCTTGTGAGTACGGAGCTATAAGAGCTTTATAATATATTTTGTAGACGTAAAGTAATAAATATTCGACACTACATCAGTTGGATATGCATCGTGTCTGACCCAGCATGAGCGTGGCGCCGTGAGGGATGACCCCCGACGTGAGCAGCCCCCCCACCACCACGCGCTCCTCCACGTGGAATACTTCGTCCACCTGGAACTGGGCTACGTCCTGCACGGGGATAAAGTAAAGACACAATAATTACCCGTGATATTTAAAATAATCATTATTATAATTGCAAGCACGTAGACGGCATATTATAGACAGGAGGGGGATCGAAAGAGGGCAATCGTATTATCAAAAATATGGCCAATTGAGATAATGAAGCAACATAAAAAAATAATGAGGGCAACAAATAGTAAATAATAAAATTCCAGGGCAACATATCATGAATTTTTGTTCATATTCTCTCTATGGAACCGACCTGCTCCGACTTCTCCCTCTCCTTGGCGGTCATCTTGGGCGGGAGGACGAAGAGGAACTGCTTGAGGAGGTCCAGCCCGTCGCCCGTCACGCTAGACACCAGGAAGATGGGCACCACCGCGTCCTGCCCGCCCCCGCTGCCTGCTGTGATAGCGTCGTCTGCTGTCTCTATCACCAGCGGCAACTGTCGCCATACAATGTACTTAATTATTAGTATTAATACAGGACACAGTGAATATTACTGTATGGTGCAGCTACACAACGCACAACCTGAGTAATAATACAGGAACACTGTGAATACTTCAGCATGGTGAAGCAACACACCATACAACCTTTTTAGTATTAATTCAGGAACACAGTGAATATTGCTGTATGGTACGGCTACGCAACATACAACCTTCTTAGTATTAATTCAGGAACACAGTCAATATTACTGTATGGTGCAGCTACACAACGCACAACCTTAGTAATAATACAGGAACACTGTGAATACTTCAGCATGGTGAAGCAACACAACATACAACCTTCTTATCGATAATACAGAAACGCATTGACTAAGACGGTATAGTGCCTCCGTACAACACACAATCGTCAGATTGAACAAACGATTTGACATGCAGCACGACTCACTAATTCCGAGTAGGATAAGAATAAGAGATATCATTAGTGGAAGGTAGAATAAACGAGTCATCTAAGAAATATTACGACAATAATATACGTTTAAAAATTACTTTTTAAAGACAACACTTCCAAAGAATCCAGTGTCTCCAATCTTACAGATGTACAATGAATTTCTCATTTAATTTTCGAATTAAAAAAATAATTTTTCAATTTTTTTAATATATAATTTTTTTTAATATATAATTTTTCAAAATAATTTATTATGTTAATTGATTCAGGCATTGCCTCTGACTTCACACAAGTGTGCAAAATTTCAGATCAATTAGACAGGTAAAAGTGTGTCAAATATCAGTTATAAGATTTGTAGCTGACGAAATTATTTTTTCAATTTGTTTAATATTGGAAAAAAATATTTAATTTTCAAAATCATTTATTTTGACATTTGATTCATGCATTGTCTCCAACTTTACACAAGTGTGAAAAATTTCAGATCGATAGGATAAGTAGAAGTGCATTAAATTTCGATTACAAGATTTGTAGCAGACAAACAAACAAGAAGTGAAGTTAAAGAGAAGTGTTGTAAAAATATTGAAGAAATGGCTGTAACTTTTACTAGCTCTTCACGTGCTGTACTTGACAAAGCTAGGTCGGACCCCTCACTAGATCAGCTATAGCGTAAGCGATGAGAATTCAATAAGAAAACATCGAGAGCGAGAGTTCGGTTCCAGAGCCAGCGAAGAATATCGAACAATGTAAGAATACTGTGTAGGTGCGATCAATCAATATTCGGCTTATGGGAGAAACTTTCAAATATATTAACTGTTAAAAACGAAATTAAAATATAATAATTGCATCTTATCAGTTTATCAGTTACAATCGATATCTACATAACCCAGACATGATCAATGAATTTTTTATTACTGATAGGTTGGTGAACACTTTTTCAATGCACCTCTCGTAGCGCAGTGGGCCAATGGCACCGAGTTGAGCGCACTGCGTAAGAATGTCCGGGGTTCCAATCCTTGGCGCAGTAGCCAAGGAATTCTATATAAAAGTTGCCAAGAAGTATAGCGTGGTCATGAGCGGCTTAAAGATATAAAAATTCTATATAAAAATGAATTGAAACCAGGGGAGGAGGTAGTTGAGTTAATTGTTTTCCATTACATTTATTTACATACACCAAAATTTCATATTCGCGTATGCACGTGCATTTTTAGGGCTCTTACCAACTATGGCTAGATTTTTTGGGCAAAAATATTTGACATTTAGAAATTTGAATATTGATTGTTCTAACTGCCCAGCGCTTAGAACAAAGCACATCTTCTCAGAATAAAAACCAGTTGGCAAAAAACTGGAAATTATTGCTAAAGGCAACCCAAAATTTGCCGCCCAACGTGGGGCTCGAACCCACGACCCCGAGATTAAGAGTCTCGTGCTCTACCGACTGAGCTAGCCGGGCACGATTTCCTAATGAAAACCTCGTCATACTTTAAAACTACATTTAAACAGAAACAAGATCAGCGAGTTCAGTGCAATGATTATTATTAGTCGATAAATTATCATATAATTATATGTAGTCAGAATTGAGACGTAATATACACTGCACGAAATGATGAGCTGTTTCTGTTCATTGACTATATGTGAGCTTTTTAATTGTTCTCGAACGCATTTGCCAGAAAAACAGAGCCATTTTAAACATTCATGCGCGAAAACGTAACTTGTTTCGGTATATTCCCTCTGCTCATTTGCTGGTATTTATTACACGTCATCCTCCTACTGTTAGATTAGTTAGCAATGTATTGCCAACAAAGAGTGCAATTTTTTTAGGTTAAGAGAAGATACATCTCGCGCCAAAGGAAAATTTTACGACTACGCTTCTAGCTGTCGGGTGGCATAGGGACGCATCTACGGCACAGCTGCCCTCAGTCTCGCAAGCTCAAGCATGTGATTCTACTGCAATCTTCCTGTAATTCAGCAGTGGAGTCAAAAGGCGCGAACAGGAATTGATATCAGGAAAAAGCACAGGCGTCTCTTGGAAATCTCTAATTCGTCTCTCAGCTATATCGGTAAAACTGTAAATGGCTCTGATAGACGATGATGATGTACTTAACATCACATCTTTCTTCTTTCAGTGATTACAATCCTGGAGGTGTCGCTCACTAAGTTCGAGCACAGACCGATTCTAATTTTTACTGTGTGCAAAATGAACCACCTTTACCATCTCCTCTAGAGTAAAAACAAGCCCAGGTGCTTCAGCAGCAGCCAATAGTCCAGCCCCCTCATCAAGCTGCTCCTAAACTTGAAGATTCCCAACACCAATTCCACTTGCTGCACGGCACCTATCGTGAACGGGGTCCACAGCTAGCAGCAGTTTACACGTGCTTAAGAGCATAGCAGCAAATCTTTAATTATTCTGAAAGCGGAAAGTTGATCTGTTTCTATTACAACGGAGGCGATGTATTTCTTCATTCAAATTTAGCCGAATACAGAAATAGTGCAAGTAAGAATCAGCTTAAAAACCTCACGCCCAACGTGGGGCTCGAACCCACGACCCCGAGATTAAGAGTCTCGTGCTCTACCGACTGAGCTAGCCGGGCTTACAATTCCCAACCTGGTACCTCACTATTATTGATATTTATTATATACAGAGTTGAAATCATGAACAGCAGGAGTACTCGCGTAAAGTTTCGAGCGGTTCAGTTGTAGAAAAAAGTTTACGTAAAGGCCCCAATTATAATGATACCAAATTAATTATTGCGATAAACACATTTGATAGTCAGAAATTTAGGCCCGTCTGCGACGTCTTCGCAGTCCTGTCAGCGTCATGCCGACCCATGATTTGCGTTCTAAATTGAAGAGTTTTTCTCCATTCTAAAAATTCATTGTGATCATACTCAAAGCACCAGTCTTGAAAACTCACAACTTGGTGACAAAATTGAAATCACTATAATTCAATTATCTACTACAGTAGGGCTAGTGTTACGGGACCAAGTCGAGAGAATTTGTACTAGATGGTAGTATACATTTCTCAAAACACAGCGATCAATTCTCTTATAAAAATGTACGCCCAACGTGGGGCTCGAACCCACGACCCCGAGATTAAGAGTCTCGTGCTCTACCGACTGAGCTAGCCGGGCCTTATGCCTCACACACTCTAAAGCCTATGCGCTATTATTTTCGGTCCTTGACGTTTCGCTTCCAAAACTCATCTAGATTTGAGTGGCTCACTTTTCCCAAACAAATACCAATAACAGCGTCCATGAACCTGGAGTACCCAGTACTTAAAAAAATTACTGATGGTATTAGTTAAAAGTAAAGATTAAGTATAAGTGGCCGATGAATGCAAGCGGTCATAGCCAATTATCAATTTGCCATCAGAGTCAGTCACGCATGTCTAAATGGCAAGCTCCGTTTATATCTATTTGTTTATTACTATCAATAATTATTTAAGAAAAATATCGATAACAAGGCCAATTGAGAAATTCCTGGAATCCCGATTATTAAGTAAATAATATTACAGAAAATTCTTCTCACAAATTATCTGTATGATTACTAACTTGATGCAATATAATTCAACACAATCCCGAGTTCAAGGGTCTCGTGCTGCAATGGCCCAGCTGAGATTTCGACCTCAGCATTTCTTAGTAAAATCGTTTTTCACTCTAGAGAAAATATCCCATTAGTATAGAATAGCGCATTACCAGCAAGCTTTTGACCCGAGCTAGCGTTTGCAATACCTAAACCGCGCGTGGTTTACAACATGCGCAAAAATTTATATATTTTCACAACGTGCCTCTCATATTATGTAAATATTTGAATAGGAGAGTAAATATATAAATTTAAATAGCACAATAAAATCGTTATAAGGTAGTCAATTCGCGTCAGCATAAAATATTGGGCCAAGTAAAGCATGTCGTCGTTTCTGATTATGTGTTGACCTGTTTCAAAGCGGTCAAAAACTGTTTCAACGATTAGATCTTTCTAAAAATAAAGTTTCCTTTCACAGAAAATTCCCTGAAACACATCGATATCAGTGTGTTAACAAGGAACACCTACAAGGCTGAAACATTTCAAAACTGAATAGATGGTATTAGATCATATGTGTAACCTTTTTCTCGTGGTATTTAGTTCAGTCGCAACAAAACCTATGCCTTCAGATCAGGCTATCTCGCGCTCAATGTCATATATAATCAAACAATCAAAACACCGCATTTATCCCATGTTCACAATATACCAAGGTACGTATTTATCGCCCGCATATAATTAACCACGCTCAGGTGGTGTCAAGATATTTTTGAGGGGTACGCAGCCGATATCAATTCAGCGCAGATCAGGCAAAATTGCCTTTGAAATGGCGGGCATTAGCAGAGGTGATGAGTCACGGTCACAGGCACATAGCTGTCAATGCAATAAGCAGCAGACTCGTGTTCCAGTAGATGACCATGAGCGTTTTTAATGATAAATTATTACTCCTTCCGTTGTTATGCACGATGTAAGGCTTAAACAATAAAGTAATTCCCACTAGTGTGTTGCATAAAATAATTATAGCTCTTGACTGGATATCTTCGCACTCTCACAAGAAGCAACTCTGCTCCTAGGACAGGTAAAAGGTCGACACAAACAAAAGTCAGAATTTCATTACAAAGCAAAGAACTGCAGCAATGCGGGCGCGGTGCTTCATAAGCACGCGGGCTGCACACCTTCTTGAGGGGAGGCGCGGTGAGGGCGGCCCTCAGGGAGGCGAGGGTGTACATCAGCTGCTGAGGGGTCGCCAGGTCCGTCTTGGTGACCACCAGCAGGAGTGGCAGGTCCACGGCACGGGCCAGAGACAGGTGCTCCTCATCCATCGCTGATAACCCGCAAAACGCGCTGCAAAAATAAAATTCACGCAATAAATTCACAATTGAATTAATACACGGAGTTAGAAACCAGATGGATACGCTCATGAGAATTAAAAAACAAAAAGCAAAATATTTTTTTACTTGTCATGCTATTAAAAATTTTATGACACCGAGAAAAGTCACGCCTTTTTCATAGTATTGAAAATATTTCCTCACTTCTGACACAATGACAGCGTCGTTGACACACCAACACAGACGGTAAAAAGGAACGTTCACGCATGAAATTCTTAATGCAAATAAAAAACTAATTTGAAGCTGTGGAGTTATCGTAAATGTCATTACAAACTGACGTCGTAATTATAATTATAATCGTAAATATAATAAGAAGTTCACCTGACGACGAGCATGACGTAGTGAGGGCAGTAGCCGGAGAGCCCGAAGGCGGTGGTGTGGATGTAGCGCTGGTCGCCCGCCAGGTCAATGAAGTTGACGATCTTGCTGCTCTGTGAGCAGATGTCCACGTCGTCGTAGTCGCGGCTCCTCGTGCACGTACCGTCCACCACGTTGCCCTGCAAGTAGGAGCATAACTTGAGGCAATCCTCTACTGCATAATGTAACAGTAGATCTTAATGGTGTAACAGTAGAATTTAATGTTGTAACAAGAGAACTGTAGCAACAATAGAACTAAATGACTGCCCTAGAAATACAAGGAAGACAGTACATTTTGCCTCGTAATGCATAACTTGAGGCAATCCTCTACTGCACAATGTAACAGTAGAAATTAATGTTGAGACAGAACTTCAGAACTAAATGTTGTGACAAGAGAACTTAATGTCGTAGCAACAGTAGAACTAAATGACTGCCCTAGAAATACAAGGAAGACAGTGCATTTTGCCTCGTAAGGCAGAAGAATATGGACAGATTTTTTAACAGGCCCATAAAAAAATTTTTACGCGAGTTCCACGAACTGGCTTCTCAATTGTGCCTCAATTTACAAATTAATAATGAATATAAATTTATTTCAAATGAGAATATAAACAAAATACCTTCATGTTACCCTCAATACCTAGATGATGTAAATAGTGCTGATATTAAAGCAAGATTATTCTATAAATCAAATTCCAAACGTGCACGTGACACGACTAAAAAAAGTTGTCAAGCATACATTAGTGACCATTAGTTTAGGTTTAAAAAGACAATAAACCGATTAAATCTCACATGAGAATCAAATCCCATTGTTTGTATGGATATGGAGGAGGTTTTCCCGGAATAGACTTCATGTCTGTGCCTGAAGACGTTGAGTCTGGCGCAGCCTCGGCCGTTGTCAAGCTGCCCTCTAGTGAGCACGCCAAGCAGGGTACTCTTGCCTACGTCTGAAGATCCCAGCACAGCGATGCGCAGCTCTATGCTGTACTGATCATCCGGCACCTACAACAAGTCATAAATAAGCGTATTGTTCTTGTTCACAAGGATAATGAATCTTGTGTTTCATGAGGACAATGATGTGACACTATTTTCTTGCAAAGGGCAGGCACAGACACTTATTTTATCTTCACCAGCCCAGCCTAGGTGAATTTGAAAGATTTGTGTCACTCCTCTGGACCTAATGAATTAGTTTCTCATATTGCACGTTTATTTTTCAGTGTTTCTCAGCAAATGATCAAAGGTACAGCTCGATAACCTGTACACTGATCATTTCAACCTGCATTGAAACAAATCTTACTTTTCTAACGAGGACTTCGGCCACTTTTCTGTCCCCCTCGCCAATGTTCTTCTCTCTGATGACAGTGAGAGACGCGCCAAGCTGCCGAGCCATGAGCTTTAAGGTCGCCATGGAGAGGGAGAGTTCCTCGGGCGTCAACCCCAGAAGGAGACCTGAATCCTCAACACCTATCTCGTAGATGGCTTCACCAAGCCCCTCTCTCAGTCGCCATTGCATCTGTTAATGGTTCAAAATACTCAGTTCATTTGTATAAAAATTATGAAAATACAAGAATGAAAATGATATAGTCACTAAAGACAAACTATTGAATGCTTGAAAATTAAACATGATATAAATTGAAAATTAAACATGATATGAAAATTATCAATATTTCATAGCAAAGCTGGATGGTTCCATTAGCTCCAACTTAATGCAATACCAAGCAACATGAAAAAATTTTTGCTATGACGGCAGTTGAATTAAAAATTTTGTTTGATAAATTAAAAGGAAATTAGAATTGCTTAGTAACTTTGACCCAGTTATACATAAGAAATGATCATTATTATTAAAGAAACTCGACTTGCATGACTAGACATGTAAATTTATCAAGACATATTATCTACAAAATGTTCCAGACATGTCTTCTGCAATGAAGTAATCTGAGGCAAGATTTACCTGAGATACTAGCCTCTTGAACCTCTCATGATTGGGATTGATGAGCTTAAGTTTGTACTCAATGTTGCCTTCTTGAGGTTCAGAGGGAAGGTGATCAGGCATTGAGGACATCCCTGCTAACTCTTGGCTGTTGGGATCATTCTTGCAGCAGCTGATAGTGTCAATTTCGCAAGATAATTGTGAACTATTTCTAGCTTGACACAAAGTAGATTTTTGGTTGTTGCATATGGACTTAGATGACTCATCAATATTGCAGTTCCCATTGATCTTGCAGTTCTTGTAAGAGAAATGCTGGTGACTAACCTCACTTGATTTATCTCTTACTCCTTCCAAGTTATCCCTTGTAGGCAAGTGACAAGAAGGTAAACAGACAGAAGAATTTCTTCTGTTTACACTCTCTCTTAGACAGTTATTTGTATTAGAAGAGCTTTCTACACTTGAATCTTCCAAGGCATTTGAGAAGCAGTTGGTGGATGCAGCACATGCAGATGAGCAGCTACAACTTCTCATTGGCTTCTTAGGGCAATTTTCTTTAGATTTCAAACTGTTAACATTACGTTGATCATTTACAATATTACAGCATTTGAGATGCTTAATAGAATTAGAATTTGCATTTTCGGAACTGGAGCAGAAATAATTGTCAGCTTTATGGTGAGAACTATCAGGTATTTGAACATTGTTTGTGTCTTTGGAGCTGAAAAATTCACTATTTCTAATTTTGTCATTTGAATAACTACTTCGTTCATTAACTTGAACAGGTAATGCTTTTATAACATTCTTGCTTTTCTTTCCAGCTTTATTTTTTCTCTTGTTTGTTTTGAAGCAAATAAAGCCTTTTTCTTCTTCTATTTGGTTATTGTTGTCATTAATATTAGAAGTATTATCAGTTTCGTTAGGAGTGGAATTCTTGCAAGCAATACTTAAAACAGCATCCTTAGCTTGCCTTCTAGTTGCCCAATCATTATACTTATCCAGCATATTTATGGAACCAGCCTTTGCTGATGTGTTGTTTACAACTGCATTATTCAGGACTGTCTGGACTGGCATAACATTGCAGTCTTGATGTGAAGTTGCAATATTTGTCTCATCACAAAGAACATTGCAATTGGTATCAGATGGTGGAAAGCTACTCTTTTTCTTCATCTGATGTTTAGCTTGAGATTTCTTGATTTGCCTTGACTTGCTGAAGCTAGATGGCCCATCTTGGTTCAACTTATCAATATTAGCAGTAGTTTCATTTTCTAATGAGGGATCAAATAATCCCAGTAAGTTATCCATTGTTTCCTGCAAGATAATATAAATAGTTTTATAACAGAATCATGTTTTATATCAATTAGGTATAAAAAAAGTTGTAGCTAACTGCTAACCTAACATACTGAATTTCTAAATTGAATAGTAAGTTCTAAGTTTGTATCTCAGTACCTATTTGGAAAACAAAATAAAATAGGCTATTAATTTGAACTTTGAACAGTTTGAAGTACTAGTTGAATATGAGATAGTAATAAATTATACCTAAGTTTTTCATACTACTAATCATTAATCATTCAAGTCTTCCAGACATTCACCAATCAGTACATGACGATGTTGATGTGTCATGGTGTGTAATCTCGATTCTTGAAGTTCAACTGTGTTGAAGAAATTATTACATCAAGTATTAAATGGAAAAGTGCTATCATTAAGCCAGCTGTTTAGTTTACAGTTTTTGACTCTGAAAATTAAACAACAGTCAAGGGTAACTAATTGGTAATCACCAGGTGATCTCACCTGGCAACTGTCAAGGCAGTGTGTTACTAGGTAGGTAGTAGATTCGGCACTATTGCATCGGCGTTTGTCCGTAACGTAAAATTTTCAACGGACAATGAAGATAGTCGTAACAAGTTTTTAATCTTTGAATGGGTGATATATTCTCAAATTTTATTATTGCATTAGTAACATCTTTGAACACTCGCATTTGTGACTTTTGAAACATATTTCCCGAGGTACAGCATACCTCCTCACGCGTTAGAGTCATGGTCTGCACTAAATCGTTCCGTTGACGTTGAGGTCCACACTCCACACTTCACATCTACTCCACAATCCACATTCTCTGATAAATAATCGGCCTCTCTACCTCCGAGTGTTTGCTCCGTACAAATGAAAGTTCTTTAGCAAAGGGCCTCTTAGGTCCTTCCCGTTTAAATAATTTAGCTTTAAATACAACCATTTAATAACTTTTCAACCCAAATTATTATTCAGAAAAAAGTTGTAAACTAGTGCATGTACTTGGGGAATGAGTACAGCATGGTTGAATTAATATCATGGAGTACAGTACCGTATAAGTTTCTTAACAAATCTCAATACTATTCACTGATAACTCATTGCACGACTTAAAAAATTTAATTCATGACGTTACAAGCTAATATAAGACAGCAGTGGTGAATAATTTTCAATAAGTTTGTTGTCTCTATTATTCTATTTCGTTTTTTTTAGTTTTGAAAATGAAAAAAACGAATGAAAGAAATTTTCCTAACCGTTTGCGATAAAGCGGACGGTAAATGGTATTTATCAGCGCGCTATTACCATAGTTCAACCATGGCTATTACGTACTCCACTTCATACAGGTTTCACTTTACTAATGTGTCTTACCATTCTTTACAATTGTGTATTTTATACACTACTCACACAGTAAAAACGCAGTTGCAACACCAATACAGACAGTAAAATAAAACTTTCACTCCTGAATTTCATGATTGCGAAATCGCAACAGCTAATTTGAAAATGTAGAGAATTCAATTACAACTACAGTTACACTGTTATTAATGTAGTTATGCCACTTAATTTCCATAGATTATATGTATATAATGTATGTACTCCATAAATATGTTCATAAAAGCTTTAAATTGGCGACGATGCATTACAAAAGAATGAGCACCAAATGTTCACCTGCGTGGCTCCAACGTGAGTTGCGAGGGGCTTGCTGTAGGCGGACGGACGCTGCTTCGTCCTTGAGCGCCCTCGCTGTGGACACTCGTCGGAGCCGAAGAAACCCAACAATCCCTCATCCATTTGAGCTTTCTAGGCGGTTAAACACTGTTTTTAACATGTTACGCGAGATTGTTTCAATTATCTCATAATTTGAGCAGATTGGGTTATTTTTTGTTTATGGTTTCCACAGCTCTATTAGCTGCTGTAAACAATAAATAAATTACCGAGTACTATTTAATGTCATACTGCACGAAAAGTGATATTTATACAAAACAACAAATGTATACATATAATTAAAACTGCAGTCAATATCTATGTACGCTAAAATTACAAAATGTAATACAATTATGAAATGGCCTGAATGCCGTACTGTTTTCTCGAGCTTGTCACCAAGGGCACTGAGTCTGTGAGAGCGATCAGGCGGCAGGAACGCGATGTAAATGCACCCGCACGTGCGCTTGCCAACACAATGAGAAAAAAATCTTATTAACTGAATTAACTCCAAAGAAAGAATTTAACTCTGTCATGATTTACCCTTGGAGCTTGGCTGTGATCTTCGTTTCACTTTTAAATCTTCGATTAAACGAGCGTTCGGCCCATCGCCAAGTGACCTACTGAAACGAGTTTCAAGTACAATCAACTGCACTTAAACATAGGCATACAAAGCAGTAAACTAAAGTGTTATCAGCTAAAGTGATACTTAGAGAGCCGCAGAACGTTTTTCACCCGACAACTGATAAGAGTTGCGCAGTTGGCTTTAAAATAGCGAAGTTTTTAGGAGCTGTGACGCGCTCGCTAAGGCTATGCCAGCAGCAGATGTTCGCCAAGAATAGTTCATTAACTCTTGAGTTTCTGTGCTTTCACGGGCACGTTGCTATGCTGCGGCCAGATTCTCGGAAAATGGCTAATGAATGACTTGCCAATCACTGTTCAAATTGAAGGATAAGCTTTAAATCTGCTGACACAAAAACTAAATGTGTAAATTCATGAACCCCCTTCACCGCGCGACCGCTCAAGCTAACATTGTGTATTTTTATCATCAAGGTATAGCAGGAAGTTAGCTCACTAAGAAATATCGTAGTAAGAATACAAAGATTAAGCATCCCGTTATCTTTTGCTCAATAGCGTGACTCCATGAACAGCAAGATGGGTTTTACTGGAGCTATCTGGTGTCAGTGAAAAGTTTGCTCGCTATCTCTGTAGTAAACAAGCCAAGTGGGGATGCAAGTCAATGTCCATTTTAACGATCACTTGTGTGTTGTACATCTGACGCGGTCGGCTGCAATTCATAAATTCATGTGAAGGTAACAATCGGACATCGATTACTCGTGATGTAACACAGGGTCTATGTAAAGGAAAAGATTTGGTAAGTTTAATCACGTCAGTATCTGGAATATAATTAACAATAACTACAACATTAGACTATTTCCTCTGACAATTTAAAGTTCAATTGAAACATGTGTTCATTTTTTAAATCTATTAAGGAAAGAAGAAGAAAGTTGACCAAGCGTATTTCTATACAAACTTTTTTTATTAAGAATTTGAACGTGAAATAAGAGAAAAAATTTTCGACAGTGAAAACACGTGTCCACGCCTGCGTCAGCTGATCAGATGAATGTTGAACACCTGCTGCTGCAGCTGTCATGTGCACGGTGCACATGTGAACAATTTAACAGCTGTTCTTACCAAAAAGACATTGCTCTCCAGTAATTCTTGATTTTGCAACTTTTCGTACTGAAATATTATTCTTGTTTACCTCTCAGTAGAATCTAACTTATCAATGTCACTCTATTTCTTGAATCACCGCTTGACACGTAACTTACAATCAAATGTAGAATTTCCTTTGTTCTGGTAAATTTTTCCTGACTGTGTTCTTTCTCGGAATAAGGGACACGTGAATATTCACTTTTACGAGCATAAAAATAAAGTCAATAGGAAAATATGAATTTTCATCTCGTGATTAACATTTAATTCTAAATTACAGGCCGATGTTATGTGGATAACAAGCCAGGCTGAGCTTCCAATGCATAAATGGGCATCGAATCGGAACTGTTGGGACGAATTTTTGTACAAATTTTTGTAACGAATTTCCATAGCAGGTTTTCCGCGCATACGATTGTCAAATCGAAACTTATCTTGACCCAATTAATTATAAATAAAGCTATTTAACGACAAGATTCTCGTAGAAGCGTCGTAAAAGAAGTTTTTTGTTCCGCTTCGCTTTCATGTAGTGTGCTAAAACTTGAAGTTTGGCGCAATACGTGAAAACGAAGCGGACCAAAAAAATGAAACAACGCTCGTAGGAGTGTATTGTGAATAAATAGATACGTTTTTAATTTGGTCAAGATCGATTTCGATTTTAAAAACATATGAAAGGAAAACCTGCTAAAACGTTGCGTTTAGCGCGCTAATTAAAAACGATGTAGACGAAAAATTCTTATAACGCTCTCAGGTGCGCATTGCAACTAAATAGTTTTTTTATTTGCCCAAGATCAATTTTTATTTGGCTAACTTGCGAGACCGGCCGCAAGTTCGGCTTAAAATTGTCCGAGACGTCGAAACGAATTAAAAGAGACCTTTCTCATTTTACCGTTACAACTAATGTTATTCATAACTCGAACACTTCCAGTGTTTATCGAAAAAGTTAATAAACACTTCTGTCAACTTCTTGATTCGTTTTCAGAGAATCTTTATCATGCTCTCACATACATATCACTTAGAACTATCCAGCGTGAGCTTCCAGCAAAGACACGACGTTGAGCGCTAATGTCTACAACTTTTAAGTCTGTTAACGCGTCACCGAACAGCGTCTAGCGACCGCCGGCAACTCAATGCCGAACTCTCTACTGAATGAAGCGGTCGGTCAGCGCGGCAACGTGATGCAATAACTCCAAGTGGTGCATTCCTGAACAGTCTGTATGAATTAGATTATCTAAGATATTCGGTTAATATAGCTGCAGAATAAAAGTTACTACCTTTGTTCACACGGATATTTGATTTCGATGCACATATAAAGAATCGTGTAACGTAGCGTAATAAGATGGCAACAGTGTTTTTTCTAAATCAACATTTAAATCCTGCGCACTAACAAACGTATTAGTGCACTAACTAAAATTAGTCTCTGCTGCGCAAGCCGGTTGGTGCTCTAATCGTTGCGTAACGAAACAGGTACAGCGGTACACCGGAAACTGGACCGGGAACGTTCCTGTACATGACTGACTTCATTACGAATGAAATTACATCAGCAACGGCGCTGCATGACAACGAACAAGACACATTGTGTTCACCAGCGCTACGGAAGTGAAGAACGTAGAAATGATTAGACCAAGGTACATCGCAGCATTGAATCAAAATAACTGGCCAAATAGGACTATTCATTGGAAATGCACCCTAATGAACATACTAACAAATATAAACTAAAAACATTGTGCTTAAAAAATGGCCAAAAGGCCAGTTGCTAGATCTGTGAACAAGTCATGAAAAGTACGAGAATTACCTAGCTTATATTAGGTACATTTCCTTCTTCTGTTTTCTCTTTGAAGGAATTAATTTCAACCAAAAAATTTGAAAATATTCAAGTATGAAAGACACATAAATGGGAGCTAGGTTCACAATAAGAATAATTGAAGCGTCTGACGTGAACAATAATTATTTATTTAAACACAAACAAGCATTCAAAATATAAGTGAAAAATATCACAGGAAGCCTCTGTTGGTCAATTGCGAATTTCACCCAGAATTTGTACCGATCAGCTCCATGATTTTTCGGGTCGAAAAGTAATACTGAGAATCAATTTAACGCATTGTTTCGCCTGTTATGTCATCAATTATATTAGGAACAATTCCAATCATTCTTAAACTTTTACTGCTCGTGATCAAAGTCGGTTGGGCGTGATTTTTTTTAAAGCCAAATCCGACATTCGCGGATCTTGGTGCAAAATTGGAAATTCCATGGGAGTTATTTTCGTTCCCAGGGAAAAAGTTCCACAGATTTTTACCTTGTGTTCGTAATCGAAAATATTTGTATAAAATATAACTGACTAAAAATAAACTTTTTGTTGAAATTACTGGCGATGTGAACGACCGCATGCAAGGCAAGAGCCAACCAAAAAATATAAGTCACCCAAACTTCGACAAACCAAAGATATGATAGAAATTTACAGGAGCTCCCTATATTAATAAAATCGTCAATTCTGGAACGAAACGCATAAAATGTGTAAACCTGACTGATAAATACGGATACCCATCCATAAGGTTGCTTGAAAGTTCGCAATCGCTCCATAGTGTTGACTGCGTAATGCAGTATTAATATTGTACGCAGATTTGTTATGAGTCATCTTGAAATCTAGTGACTGCAGAAGTTAACAACAAGATTCTCGTGATGTTAGATGAGTAGGCGAGGTGTGCCGTGAGCAGGAGGTGCAGAATTAGTAACTTCGAGGCTCACAGGAGTGGTGAGTGAGGCAGGTGTTGAATGAACAGAAATTCTACCGTTCCGAACACGCATCGTCGTTGATGCACAACTGAAGCTGTCGTGAAGTTATAGTGGTGACCGAAAATGGGAAGGCCACTGTGACCAAATGCAGCGGTCGACTAAAATGCATTGTGAACGAAATAAAATGGTGCTCGGAAATTGGGACGTAAACCAACTGTAACCTAGTGCAATGTAGTGGTGAACGAAACGATGTGGCGCATAAAAATGGGAAGGTAGAACCAATGCAGCGTTCAATTTAAAAAAGCAGAGTTGAACGCACAGTAAAATGGAAAGGTACTAGTCGGAATACAGTGACAAACAACAATTTAGTGTTGAACGAAAGTAAGAAGCACAGAAAAATGGAAAGTTAAGGAGGCACTATAAGCGATCAATAGCCTTAGTCTAACGATTCATTCAACCACTACCAGGTCTCCAATCTTTTATCAAAACCTTCTTATCATCAGAAATGGATCAGTGCACACGTGTTGTTCGTTCGCTAGTAGTTGTTTTTGAACTGCTCTTTTGGTTTCGGTGGTGAGAAATGGTTTGGAATATAGATTTGGCTTTCCTTTGCCTCTTGAGCAACATTGTTTGCTCTCAAGTGGAAAAAATAACGGAAAAACGATGGTGGTCCAACTAGTGGTACAAATGAAAAAAAGTTTAAGAAAATGAAAAAGTCAAAAACATTAATAATATTTTCCTAGGTATTCGGAACTCAAGGAATTGTTTCGTCATGGTTTCTACTAAGTGACTGACGCAATGCTTGACAAAAATTGCTTCAAGCGATCGATCCCCTCCTTTAACCCGCTTGAATCCTCCAAATTTTCTATTCATAACCATCAAGCATAGCATCAAGCGTCAAAAGGATTCCTACACCGTCAATTACGCTTGAGTCAATCGATTG